ATGGACTCCAGAGGATCGCCTGGGTGTCGACATGCCCGTGGAAACCACAGGTAGTTGGTACCTGGCCCCTGGGGAATCCAAGGTGGTGAAGATTTCGTATGGACCGAAGAACCCACAGCGTGAAGTTGTGTGGGCAGGACGAGGTGACCGCTGGGTAACGCACCTGATTTACGCTGCGAGATCCTGGCCGGTCGCTGTGAAGGTGGTCAACATATCGGACAAGGACGTCTGGATTCACAACAGAACGCCGGTCGCCCGAATCGTGGAGTATGGCTTCTTCCCACATGCCGGACGCTTTGTGCGCCCTGGTTCTTTTGCGTACCGGTAGTGGCAGACTCTTATTCTGGAGAATGTTCAGTCGCGTGAGGGCAGACTTCGGGCGGAACGCCTGGCTGCGCTGGAGCCATCCTGTGTCGAGACCCCAGAGTATCAGTGGCCTACGATGATTCTGCCGCGACCTGCAAAGAGCCCCGGCATGGCACTGCTTGCCTCGATTCTCAGGAAACCGAAGCCTCGTCGCGTGCGCTTCGCTGAAGACGCTGCAACTCAGACTGAAGGAGTGCCTCCTGAAGACCCTCCTGAACTCCGAGATGTTGCTGTTGATACGAGTGACTTGGGTGACGTTCTGAAGGAGGCGGTGACCGATGTTGCCTCGCAGACTGTCGGAACCCCAGAGGGCATGAGTCCTGAAGGTGATACGGCCGCTGAAACCCTGAGTTTACAAGTTGAAGTTGGCAGTGATTCTTAGGGTCAGTGGTGCGACGAAGGTGATTCTCTGGGATTCGATGTGGATGACGACGATTCTCAGGGTGCTGTTGAAGATTACTGGGATATCCTGATCTCAGAGATGCCGGGAACTCCGTTGGAGAAGCTGAAGCAGGAATATGAGCGCTGCATGCGGCTTTCGACAGAGGACCTCGACTACGAGCCTGCGGTCTATATACGTGAAGGAAGTGAGTTGCTCTCTCAGTTGCGTGACCAGTTGGTTATGCTTCCTGAGATGCGTGACTTGACCCCTGAGTGCAAGATCGAGGAGGCAGATGTTGGAGTCCCTGGGAAAACGGCGCCCGAGATGGAAGACCAAGTGAGGCGAATTCTGGAATATCATCGGAAGATCTTCTTGGGAGACGGCAATGCAGCTCCCCCACCTGCCCGTGGAGTGGTTTATGACCTGGATGTAGGCGACGCTAAACCTGTTGCCCAGCGTCCAAGGTCCATTGCACCACACCTGTGGACTAAGGTGTATGAACTTCTGAAGAAGCTTCTGGAGAACGGGCTGATCGAGACTTCTACGTCCCCCTGGGCATCTCCAATCGTGATCGTCCTCAAGAAGAATGGCGTCGACATCCGGATGTGCATCGACTATCGCGTGGTGAATGGCTTCATCAAGCTCTCACACTATCCGCTGCCGCTTATTGATGATCTTTTGATTGGCTTTGAGTCGGCGATGTGATTTATGAGCTTGGACATGGCGAGTGGTTTCTGGGCTATCAAGATGTCCGAGAGAGCCAAGTTGATCTCTGCGTTCGTCGGTCCCTATGGGCACTACCAGTGGGTCAGGATGCAGTTTGGCCTCAAGAACGCGCCGCTGATCTACCAGGCAGTTCTCAATAACTGTCTGTGGGGATTTCTGTGGCTTTCCCCTGAGGAAGAAGCTGATGTCGACCAAGATGTCTTGGACTTTTTGGGGTTGAACTCTGGGGAACCCAGAGTTTCAGGTGAAAATGCACCGCGACTTTCAGTGTTGACGGATGAGATGACTGTTTTCAGCGTAACATCCCGGCTCCCTCTCAGATGGGCCCTGTCCTGGGTCGAAGCTCGTATATCGACGACATCGCCCACGGTGCGCCTACTTGGGAGCAGCTGTGCCAGGATCTGAACGCGTTGCTCTTCCGACTACGTTACTGGAATATCTCTTTGAGTCTTCCCAAGAGCGAATTCGGGAAGTTGTCCATTCCGTACCTCTCTCACGAGATTAGTGCTGAGGGCATCCGAGTGACCCCTAAAATCGCGAAGGGGGTCCAAGACTTGCCGTTCCCGACGACACTGAAAGGCGTCCAGCGTTTCATGGGGAGTCTGAATTACTACAACAAGTTCATTGAAGATCTACCCCTGATCGCGGCCGTCCTGTACTAGCTGACTGAGGAACAAGTAAAATCCAGGAGAGACCTGTCGAGAGCCTAGGAAGCCTTTGAAATCCTGAAGCGCAAGATCGTATCGACTCCGTTGCTCAGACATCCAGATCGTTCAAGGCCCGTCGTGATTATTCCCCACGCGAACCCGTGGCAGCATCCGCTGTGTTGGGCCAGGAGTACGACGGGATTGTGCACCCGGTTCGATTCACAGGTCGCGTCTTGAATGACGCTGAGCTGCGGTATCACATTGCGGAAAAGGAGGTGATTGCTATCCTGAGAGTCCTGGAGGTGTTTCGCACTTTGGTTGAAGGCAGCCCTAAGATCGTCGTCTACACGCGATATTCTGTGTTGAAGTGGTTGCTAACCTCGCAGTCGGCAGACGGTCGAACGGTGAAGTGGGGTCTGAAGTTGTCCCACTGGAACCTGGAGATACGCAGAGTTCAACGGGATGAAGACGGCTTGGCTGCAATTCTGGTTGCGGGTATTACCCCCAGAGAACACTTGGATGAGATCGCTGAAAACCTGATCCCAGCTAAGGGGCGTGTTAAACCTCCAGTGCCTATCAGTATGGAAATGCTGGAAGCGGATGTATTCTGAGTTTCGATGGCGCCGCTAAGACTTCCACGCGACAAGGGAGCTGCGGCTGATGTCCCCGGGTGGGAAATCCTGGATGCCCAGGGATTCACCCTGGAGGACGTGACTGTGAACGACGCTGAGTATCATGGACTTCTGAAGGGCCTCACTCTGGCGATTGAGCGTGGAATTCAGGACATCGTTGTAGTTGGGGACTCCAGGATTGCCATCCAGCAAGCCCAGGGTCTCATCAACTGCAATCAGCCCAATCTCCAGAGGAAGCTGGCCGAGTATGAAGTGCTGAAGACGAAGTTCAAGTCTGTGCAGCTGGCGCATGTCAAGCGAGAGTTTAACCAGGCCGCAGACTACCTGACATCTAAGACCCTCGCGCTTGGTGAATCCTGGAAGGTGGAGGATGCTGACGAACGAACACATCTGCAGTTGGTGTACAAGATTCACGAGAAGTTGGTAAGACCGATGGTGTTATTGAACGTTGGAATTCAGGGGGGTGATTCTCAGGGTGTCGAAACTCTGGGTATCCCTGGACCTGAGCGCGCTCCGTTGCCTGTGGCGGCCAAAGTGTTTGCAGTAATGACTCGGGCGCGAACTCAGGAGATCGAAGCCCAAAGCGAACCCATGGGACCTCTGGAGTACCAGGCGGAACGCAGGCGACGCATCAAAGTGCACCAGGACAAAGATGATCACCTGCTGCAACTCAAGGATTTCCTGAAAGGAGACACGACGAAGCTGTTGCACGCTCAAACCAGGAAACTCGCGAAGGTCGCTGATGATTTCGTGTTGGATTCCAAAGAAGTCCTGTACCGCTTGAGTCGGTCTACCAGAGATCAACCCCGAGACATGGTTGACGAACTCAGACTCGTGGTGCCGAAAGCCCTGCGACCGGATATCCTGCATTACGCTCACAAAGATTTTCAGGGTGGGCACCAGGGCATCACGAGGACGTACGAGAAGCTGCGCTCTGAGTTCTACTGGTACGGCATGTACGCTGATGTGGAGTTTTCGTCAAAGAGTGTGTGGATTGCGCCAGCGGCAAGGGGCGCCCTCATAATCCAGCGCCTTCCCCTGGGAACATTGAACCGAGGCGCCCTTTTGAAGTTGTGTCTATGGATTTCGCGACACACTTGCCTAAGTCGGACCGTGGGAACACGTTCCTGCTGCTTTTTCAGGATGCGTTCTCAGGATTCGTCATGTAGTTCCACCACGGCGCAAGATGTCGCTGAAGTGTACGAAGAGCAGGTCTTCAGGAGATTCGGCGCGAGCTCGATGCTGAGGCACGACCAAGACCCAAGGTTCATGAGTGAGGTGTTCACGCGCTTCCGTAAACTTTTGGGTATCAAGCAGCGAGCCACTCTAGCGTATCGCCCCCAGGTGAACGGACAACAGGAGCGGTCGGTGCAGACTGTCGTGCGCAGCATTCGAGCGTACATTGCTGAGGCGGACCAGAGTGACTGGGACGACCATGCTGAGCGCCTGATGTTTGCCCTGAATACATCGTTCGATGCCACTCGCCTGGACACTCCGTTTCTTCTGGTGCACGGCTGGGACGCACACGGCACGGTGTCTGCAATGTTAGGACCCAGGCCCTCGAGTATCCAGGAGCGCACTGTGTACGAGTGGCGCTGGAAGCTACAGCGTGACTATAGTTATGCACAAGCCTGCGCTGAGGATCTTCAGAAGAAGGCCAAGCGCGCGCGCTCTGCCGAACAAACCAGGAAGTGGAGAGAGCTGTCCGAACGACTGAAGGCAGGATTCGCAGCCGGTGATGCTATGTGGCTCTATATACCCAAAGTGCCGCCCGGGCTGAGCCGCAAACTGGCTCACATATGGCATGGCCCCTTCAGAATTCAGGAAATCCATGACAACTTCCGCGTGAAACTCAGGGTCGAGAACACAGGATATCGCGTGAATCCCTGGGTAGACGTGAGCCGTTTGAAACCCAGAGCACTATTCCCGAAGCGGCCCACTGTGGAGATCGACGGGGACGAGGATGATGACTTTGATGCGGCGCTGTTGCCTGAAGACAGTTGGGAGCCGGACGCTGCGAACGATGAGTACGAAGTTGAGCGAATCCTGGATTTTGCGATAGACTAAACGGACTCGGACAGCGAGACGAATTCGTGAGTACCTTGTGAAGTGGAAGGGGTATGATGAGACCGAGTGGCTGCCTGTGTCGAAGCTCAACTGTGGTGCCCTGCTCTACGAATTCAATCAAGGCGCAAGAGCGCGGGCCCGTTTCCAGGCCATGCAGGCTGGAGATGATCACCCAGGAGTCTAGCACTCTGGGGTGACAATGACCCAGAGTGACACGTGATATTCAGGGGAAACTCTGGGTGACACTGTGAATCTCTGGGGGAAATCGACGGAATGTGTGAATATTGGAGACGGAAAACGTGAATGTGATTTGATTTGATTATGGAGAAGGAGACGCGCGTGGTCGCGCCCGTCTTGGTGCTGTCCGTCGAAGTGTCGCCGGACGCTGAGTTACCCGCCTGGCCGCTGCCGCCGCCTGCTGGTGCGGTGCTTGCAGGGGCGTCGCCGGTGCGCTGCTGTGTCGGAGGTGGCGTGCTGCCGGGGGGCGCCGTGCCTTGAGCTGGCGCCGTCTCTTGCTTGCCGTCCAAAGTCGCGCTCTCCGCCATCTTGACGATCTGCGAAATGGCGATGTGACCGCGCATTGCCCGTTGGAGTTTTTGCGTTTGAGAGGAGAACCTTGAAGATAGGTCCTGACCAACCGTTGGGGAGACAGGGTGTCGCCAAAGTGAGTGAAACCCTGGGGAGTTGGCAGAGTGCAACGGCCGTATCGAAGTCGACGGTGGATGGACCTGTGTGTTTTTGTAGCCTGGCCATGGTTCACCAGTTCGGAGCGATTTTCTCTTTGATGGACCCGGACCAGGAGGGGCGGTTGACATGAGGCGGTCCCCAGAAAATGCCGACGATGTGCCGTCACCTCTGTGACCTGGAGTTTGTATCGGATGCTGATTGGTGGATGACTGGGATACGGCGCGGCTGTACCCGTGTGACATGGATGGCGACTGTGGGAGAGAAGTGATTTCTCGGGATGAATCCAGCGTCTGACCGCAGATGGGCCCAACTGGCTGGAAGTGTGAATCCTGGGAGTGCACGCCCAGAATTTCAGAGAACACTCAGTCCAGCCGCGGACTTTCCCTTACGATGAGTGCCTAAAGTCTGGCGGAAAGTGTCTCTGGAGAATGAGTACGCCTCATCTTGCTGTGGCTCAGAGTGCCCCAGAGGATCAAATTACCCTGAGAATCAACCCACTACTACCATGATCATGAGCAGGAGGCCGCTAAACCCACTAAAAGTGTGGCTTTGAGGAGATACACACGAGTCTGCACTGCAGCAGATTTGTTACCTAGAGTGCCGCACGGAAACCTAGAATGCCGCACGATGACCCAGAGTTCACCTCCCTGAGTGCAGGTGACCCAGAGTTCCAAAGATGATTCTCTGGGTTTGGACCATAAATCCAGACTCTCTATACTGAACTTAAGTGTTTCCCGAGCCAACACCCAAGAATCCCCACAGTTCCCCAAGATTCCTCAGAATTCCCAGGATTTCAGAAGATGACCCTGAGTGTCACCTGGTTTTCAGGGACTCGAGTCAGTTCGAAGCCAGTCTGCAATCAAAGTGATGCGTGACCTTGAAGAACCGTTGTGGATGCACAGACTGGATACTTTCGAGGAGTCGAGAGGGAGTCCTGCACCATACTAAACCAAGTCGAAGGACCCACAATTGGCACTTTCGACGCCGTGCGACAATGGATTCGCAAGCCGATCGCAAGTTTGGACCGCTGATCCCAAGGTATACTCAAGACAATACATTTTGACCCCAAGCATAGTGAACAGAAGATATTTGCCCGAAGAAGAGAGAGAGAGAGAGAGAGAGAGAGAGAGAGAGAGAGAGAGAGAGAGAGAGAGAGAGAGAGAGAGAGAGAGAGAAGTTGCTGATAAAAACCAAACAGAGTTCCTTTTACCCTGTACTGCGCAAGTGACTTCGGCCAAGCCTGCCGACGGAAATCCGGAGGACCCGAGACTACGACCGCGGGACGCTAAGGGCACATCAACGGCGAAGGACAGCCGTCTGTGTGGGCTCCATCAAACTCAAGTCCAGTTAGGTGGTGACCAGCGACGGCCTTGAGCTTCGTGGGGTGATCCATCTATTCCATATCCTGGTTGGGCCACTTGCTGTGCTCGTGGTAGCCCATTTCATATTATTCCAGAGGGTATTCTGGGGTGCTAGGTAGTCACCTCCAGGATTTTGTATTGACTGCTTGTGTGAAGGGAAGGTAACTGATAGTGATTGTATTTTCCTCCTTTATTGGAGGTGGTGCGCGTTTGTGTGAGTCTCAGGGGAGCTAGGCCCCTGAATTTCAGACTCGAGTGAGCCTAGTGTGTGTGTGACCCACCGTCCAAGGGTCCAAAACAATAAGTGACGGCTAGTTGTAGTGTTTGTATACTCTGTATTTGTTGGTTTTATCGAGTTAGGAGGGCATTTGGGTAAGGTGTCTTCTGAGTTCCAAGTCCCAGAGTTGACTGAAAACCTGGACCCTGAATTCGTGATATTCTGGGTTTCAGGGGATCTGATTCTCTGGGTTTGCCTTTTGGTGTGGAGGTGCGTTCTGAAGTAGACGTGCGCTCCCGCACTTCTTCGAGGCTACATTTTCAACCGGTGGAGTGCCGTTCTGTCGAAGACAAACGAGCCGACAGGGATTACACAAGGTACCCACGCCAACCAAGAGGAGTGAGTTTCAGGGTTTAAAGTTTTGCGGCTGCGAATCTTTGGGTCTATCTTCTTGCTGTTGACTCTCAAGTCGATTCTCTGGGTCTACCCCTGGGGAACAGTCTTGGGCTGCGCTATACGAACCCCCCTGGGCGACAAAGGTTTCATTGGCCTCGCCTCACGACCTTCGACAACGGGTCGACGATGCGTCGAGCCGCAATGGCAGTGTCGAGTTCGACAAGCCAACCGAGGAGAGGTTCCCCTCCCTTTCAACGTAATTGCTCACACTGAGCTTCAGCGATTGCGCGCGTGGTGTCGTCCCCGACGACACCGTGGTAGACGAAGCAGCATCTCGCTGCTCCCTCATGATGAATCCCTGAGCAACACCATGTTGCTCTGTCGGCGATAGCGTACGCAGCATCGTAGCTACAGCCGCCTCACCAATGACTGTTGACAGTCGTTGGAGAGCTTCCCACTCCGGGTCCGACAGGTGGGGACAGTCAGCGCGTGCAACGTGAGTTGCAGGCGTAGTGGAGCTTTCCATGGACACCTCCGTATCCATGGGAAGGTTCTCAGCTCCGCGTTCGTGCGGTGACGAACGAACTCAGGTAGTCGGTCGTTGGACGGACTACAAAGTGCTACCAGGTGTAATGGGCCTACTTTGGCTCACTACTTTAGCTTACACGTGTCCGCGTGTATGTGAGGAAGCGTAGCTTAGTTTAACTTAAGAGTTAATTATACTCGGGCCTCCGAGTATAGATTAATCTAAATAAACGATCCAAATAATGTTTTTGGATTAAAATGAAAACTGCTATTTTGTTTTATGTTTCTGACTTCCTCTAAATGTAATATTCTAAGATTCTAAGATAGGAATCTGCCAACGGCTGGTTGGCAGAATTCCAATGCTATGCATGTCGCTCATTGGCTAAGAGATGCTGTTCTCAGCCAATAGGAATCCTAAGTCTCTATGGACCACCCGTCATGGTGGTCGTAAATGTATGTAGCATTTGGTGTGTCTACACCAAGGTCGAGAAAGTCTTTCGAACCTCTAACAGACGTCGTATCTATTAGAGTTACAAGTGACTGTAGCCACTTGTGCGTGTAACCCTGTTACACTAACCATAATCCATATAACCGGTCCTACAAACCGACCTGCATTTGCAGGACAATTTGTCTGGTGTAGGACGTATTGTGCTTTGCAACCAGTTTGCCCTCCTAATTTGTGCACTAGTTAGTGTTCGTACTTAGTTGGGGACGAAGTCTCCACTTACATTGAGTTGGTCCCTCAGGGGTAGGGGAGGCATCTGTACTGAGGACTCGCTTTAAAACGAACTCAAATTTTACTTGGGTTTAAGAGACATTTGTCATACTATACCAAGGGGTTCAATTTATACAATCCACAAGTTGCTATAGGTTGTCCTACTGTAGTCAGTAAAGTGGAGGTACAAAATTTTACATCAGTACCGGTTAAATACTGATTACCTTGAAATTACCGGTATGTCCAAATCAAGGTGCGGAGCTGCAAGCGCTCATTCAGCAAGATGTGGGGCAATGCAATGCAATGATTTACGTGTTCGCGTAGCCAAATTACACCTGCGCTAGTCTCAGTTTAAAGATGTGGGGTATGAACAGTTATTAATAAGTATAGTAGAGAATAACCAAGGAGCGACTGGTGTGCCGCATGTGCGGCGCGCCTAAGTCGCTTCCGGAAACAGTCTTCTACTACGCTTGAATTCAGATTGACTCCGGGTCATGGGGACGTCGTACCGTAGTGGTTGATCTAACCACTACGGCGCGTCGCCCCTATTAGCAGCTGTACAGATGCTCAGCTACAGTAAGAAGTGTAATTAGTGTGGGCCACGGTATTTGCGCCTTCACCATTCTCAAGACGTGTAATTAAATAGTGTGGGCCACGGTAATTATGCACCCACGGTATATTTGCGGTCACAGTATTTGCGCGCCACTGAGCGTATCAGCTCATTACATATGAACAATGAATAAGGCAACGTTCACCAACACCTCTATGCATCTCTATTCATCATAAAGGCACTACAGTTGTATCTCTTCTATCACTTGGTCGGAGCTCTCTCCATCATCCTGGTGTACCTCCGCCACATCCGTCTGTGTAGCTGGCTTGCCGTCGAACTCGTCACGATATTTGTCCATGATGACTTGAAGGTGCTGGGAGAGTTGAGACTCTTCCCATTTGCCGTTGAGCCCAAGCGATAACCCACACATCATCATAGCTTTTCGTGGGTAAAGAATCCCGTCATCGTCTTTTTTTAAGCTGACAGCCCGAACACAACGAGCCGCTAGCTCAAGAAAAAATGCTTGCCAGGATTTTTCACTTTTCCGGAAGCATCCGAAAAACTCCCCTCTGCTGCCAAACGTCTTTTTTCCTTGTCCCATTCATCAGTCCAAATGTCCTTGATGGCTTTAATGATAAAATAATCAGCTGGCTGGCATAAGTGTGTCGTATTTGCCGGCAAGAATTCAACTTCCATTTTCTTGGCCTCGAGAATACCTTCACATTCATCTACTTTGTGACCGCTTGCATTATCCATACAGACAACTTGTTTCTGATCGTGAGGATGGCGGCGGTTGCAGCCGTTGTTTTGCAGACACACACGGAACAAGCGCTGGTCCATCCAGCCTTTAGGTCCACACGCTCGGTACATCGTCCGGGACTTTTTGAATCGGATAGCTGCAGTTCTGATTCTGAAAGATCAGCATTGGCGGCTCAATCCGCGCACTTTTCCCCCACGGATCTTAACCCCTCCAGCCCGGAGTGTTGCATAATGCAGCATAATCTTTTTTGTTAAGCTGCATTATGCTACATAACGGCGGTTTTGACTTCAAATTTGTATAGGCTGTATTTTCCCTTGTCAATATGCATACAAACTTTAAGATAGACAATCTATGGAAATTGTGTGGTTTCTGTTACAAACCCAAACCTGATCAGTAAAATAGTCCGTCAATAACAAATAATGGTTCCTGATTTGCTGGGTGCTTAGCAGCTTTGGCAGGGAACGACCGTCCGCCAACCGCTGACGGGTCCGAATCCCCCTCATTCGAGATTTCGCGCGCCAAGGGCTCAAGCTGACACTGGACGATGGTGAAACCGCGAGGAAAGCTAGTGTGTGACTGCGACGTCACCTCCCGAGACCTATCATTAGGGTCCGTCTGGAGAGAATTGAAGGGGCGAGGATGGCCAAGCAAGCGACCTCCACGACGAAGCCTGGATGGCCGCTATCTCTACGTCCGGCCTGGTGGAGATCCGAACGGCACTGCTGGTGTGGACTTCTTTCTAAGCGAGGGCACCGTTCTGGAGTATTACGCCAACAGTAAGTTTTGACTGGTATTTTATTTATCGATTACACGCTAACACGATCTGTGTATTGACGCAGTACTGCAAACGCGCGCGCGAACGCCTCGTCCGTCGGACCCGGGGATGCTCAGCTGGAGCGGGCTGCCCGAGTCGTAGAGGAAACATACGGCCATCTCATCGAAGGCAGCCCAGCTCGTGGCCAAGCTGCTGCAGGTGCTAACCCAAGGGACCCTCCTCTTTCGGTGACACCTGCGCGCCAGGCTTCTTCCCTTCAACCTGCCAGTGGTCAAGTGCCACCAGGTGTACGAGCGCAAGGCCCACCTCATCCTGCTCGTGCCCGCGGACCAGCTGCGACTGGCGTTGCTCAAGCCCCACCTGCCGCTCTCCGTTCCCAATGGCGATCTGGTGCTGCGCATGCCCAGCTACCTTCAGCTGCGGATGGCCACGGCCCACCTCCTGCTGCACATGCCCAAGCCCAAACTCGTGTTGCACGTGTCCAAGTGCCGGCTATGACTCCGTGTGGCCAAGGCTTACCTCCTACTGTTTGTGCCCAAGAATCGTCTTCTACAGCGCGTGCAGGACTGAACCGTGAGCGTCGTGCATCACATCCTACGCGGTGCATGCTTGCTTGTACGGAGAGTCCCATGACAACGCCTCCGCGCCGTATCTCAACGTCTACCGCGCTCTGTACTACTTCTCCGCATGTTCGCGATGAGTCCGCCGACTCCAGTGACGATGCCACTGCGTCTGATGGAACACTGCAGCTCGACGGCGCATCGGTTCATTCTGCTGAAGCCGCAAGTGGTTCAGATATCGGTAAGCTGCATCCTAAGCTGCATCTTGTGCTGCATCTTATGTTGCATCTTATGCTGCATAGTACACTGCATCTTATGCGGTATCATTTAGGTTGCAAGCTATCGATAAACATACTAATGCATACGTGGTTACTACGGCATACTTTTGCGGCGAGTGCAGTCAACAGGGACCCATATTCCTGTGTATGAAGCCGCGCTGCATGATGCGCGGTGTCGCGATGACTTGCTGGGATGTTTGGCACGTGAGTGGATGCATGGCAAGCTCATTCCCGTAGACACAGGGAGAAGCATCCGGATGCGCCGACCCGCCGACGCAGTGGCTGAACCATCAACACCAGGGACGCCTGTTACGCCGCTAACACCTATCGGACCAGCTAGCAGCAGCAAGAGGCGTAAAACATACAGGTAGACCGTAAGTAGCTACGACGAGTGCAGCGGGGCTGCCGTAGCTTTGCGTCAGAGGAAGCTTAACAGACTCACAGAGGCTCAGCTTAAGATAGCCCGTTCTAATACCAGAACGTACGAGTCCGTACACCTAACGGACTCCAAGAGTCAACCCTTAACTCTTAACTGTGTGAATCTCAAACTGAATGTATTTCCCTTTATTGCGGCAAAGCCGCCTACGGTGTAATTGTATCAGGTTCACTATCTAGCATAGTGAACCCTAGTCATATGCATAATCAGTGGCTCCGAAGCCATGTACTGATTCTCCTACGGATTTAGGTTAGACAGTGTGTACCCACTTCGTAATCCGTCGGGTAACTCTCGTGTAACCCCGTTACACCCTCCCCCACCAAACCGTGGACACGGGTGTTCACGCTTAACGGTCAACCACCGGGTCTTGTTCCGTCAAGCCTCCTTCTCGAACGAGTCAATCCACATCGCGTGGACTTCTCTGAGAACTTCTCGGCGCAACGCCTAAAGCGCAGCTCGCAGCGCGCAAGCCCCAGCTCTCCTCGAGCACCAACCCGTCAGATCGTGGATCCTAGGGAACTCTTTGGTGAAGAGGGCGAGGTGGACGAGTCCATAGAGGGTTCTCCGAACCGAGGAGATGCGTCCCCGCTCCCCGAGTCGCGGCGACGCTTCGCCCACACCGTCGACACGCCGTGACGAAGGCTCGCCGGCCCCAGTTGGCTCTCCGAGCCGTCGCGATCAAGAGCGCCCCGCGCACACGTCTACTGTGCGCTCGCCGAGCCGTCCACCTGCAGAGCGCGCTGCGCCGTCGAGGGAGGAGCCGCGGTCACCGCTGCGAACTCCAAACCCGTTCCCTGAACGCTCTTCCGGCCTCTACGAGCTGCGCGCGCTCACTGAGCCACGGTATTCGCCACCTCGTGGTGAGGGCGTGCCCCTGGGCCCCGTCATTTCCAACCCTTTGGACGAAGCTCAGTCCGAGCAGGTTGCGGCGCAGATGGCTCCCACGCGCTCCCAGCGCCCCGAGCTGCGGCCTCTGCTGAACCCCAGCACTGTCGACTACAGCTTCCGGCCTCGCGACCCCGCCAAGGCTTGTCGCCAGGCGTTCCAGCAGTCTCTCGCGCTGCACACCATTGGGCCCAGGGCCCGTACTCCGGAGGAGCTCGCACTACGTACGTCTCTGCGAGAACGGCTCCTCACTCCACAGTCTACGACTGTCGCGGAGGATCGCGAGAGGCTGCGGCTGCAAGCCCAGCAGAAGTCCGTGCCCGCCATGCGGACGTACCCGGTGGTACTTAGCCCGTGGGAAGACTCAATTGAGTACGAAGCTCAGTTCGAGGCTTGGGCCGAGCACAGCCGAAAGCTCAGCTCCATGGACGCTCTCCGAGCCAGCTTCAGTGAAGTGGATGTTCGCATTGAACGCAAGCTCCGCTTCGATTTCGCGAAGGTCCGAGCCAAGCGCAGCCTCTCGGCACTCGCCCAGCCGCAGACCCAGTTTAGCGCTGCGCGCTTCGCTCCTTCAAGCACTCCAACCGCTCCTTCCCGCGAGGGAGTGAGCGCTGTTGCTCAGGGTCAGCCTCGGAGCAATGTGGCTGACCCAGCAGCTCCCCAGCTTATTGCCGGGAAGCGCGGGAAGGCCGGCGTGCCGGCCTTGAGCCCTCGGGGCGCTGGTGATCAAGCTGATCAAAAGCGTCCACGACGTCTGGGCAGTCTTGGCGGAGGGGCACCTCAAACTCCCATGAGTTCTCGGAGTGAGGGTACCCTCGCCATTTCACCAGATACTGGTTTTGACCCCGGCACCGCCGCTTCGCCAGGAGGCGCTCCACATGGTAATGTAGATTCCCATGCTCATCGAGCAGAGCCGGTGGAGGCCGCTGTGGGGCCCTTTGCGACTCAAAGTGAGCTCTTGGAGGTGCGGCAGCAGGCGGTCGCCTTCGGGATCATATCCATGACGTTGATTCGCGTATGGGTCGGACTGCCACCGAACTCGACGAGCTCGCCGAGCGGACGCGATGGATCGAGGTGCCTCGAGCGGTCTGGGACCGCCTTGGGGCCCTGGAGGACTGGGTGCGATACTATCGGGATCGCGATGAGCAGCGTGGCCGGGAGCTCGAGGAGCTACAGCGTCAGTAGGCTGTGCTTCAGGGTCAGCTCGACCTCCTGGCCCGCGTGCAGGCTCCGATTGCTGCGTCTCCTGCGCCTGCGGCTCTCGCTGTGCCCGCGGCACCTCCGGCGCCGATTCTTCCGCCTGTGCCTGCGGTGCCCACGTGGATGGCCGCGTCGACGCCTGCGACTGCGTCCTCGACGACCGCGGCTTCCGCGCCTGTGACCTCGTCACTCTCGGTGCCTCCATCTGTATCTGCATCGGGTCCTGGTACGGCTTGAGCAAGCCCACGTAGAAGACGGGGTGCGTCCGCATCTTCTTCGGAAGATTGAGCGTGTACGCAAGGCCCTTCTTGGCCACAACCTTGAAAGGTCCGATGAAGCGCGGGCGTAACTTCGTCTTGAAGACGGCTGACACTGCATGTGTAGGTAGGTTCTTAGCATTAAGCAACACCAGGTTCCCGACCTCATAACTTTCAACATTGCCTCTGCCCCTGGCATCTGCATGTTCCTTTTGCTTGTCTTGGCTCTCAGCCATTGCGTCACGCACATGTCGTAAGACACTCAGACGCGTCGACAACAAAACGTCAACCTGTTTACGAACAGTAGCCGGGCTGACATCGGCTAGCCGATCAGCTAAATCGGCTTCTCCTCCCCCACCAAGCCCGAGGCCACCACGTGGCGGCGTCAGCGGGACGCGGGGATGAGACAAGCTGTTCACGTAGAACGGCGTGTAGCCTGTCGAGGCGTGCACCGCGTTGTTCAACGCAAACTCAACGAGTGGCAGCATGGCGCTCCAGCGCTTCGGCGTCTCAGCGCAAATGCTGCGGAGCACGTCCTCGACGACGCGATTCACGCGCTCTGTCTGACCATCGGCCTGCGGATGGTCCGCCGTGGACATGTCCAGCTTGGTGCCAAGCACCGCAAAGACCGCGCTCCAGAAGTGGCCCGTGAAGCGGGGGTCTCGGTCCGAGACAATCGACTCAGGGAGTCCGTGTTGTCGAAACACTCGGTCCAAGAACAGCGTTGCTGTACCTTTACCATCGATGCTTGCAGCAGGGCACAGCCGATGGGAAAGTCCGAGGCGTCACAGACGACACTAAACGGACGAGCGGGGTCTGGCAAAGCCAGAATAGGCGCATGAAGGAGACTGTCCTTAATTGCCGCAAACGCATCTTGATGTTCGGTGTCCCAACACCACTTCGCATCCTTCTTCAGGAGATTGGAGAGTGGCCGAGCCATCTCAGCGTAGTTCTCGCTGTACTTGTGCAAGTAATTGGCCAAGCCAAGCCACTGCGAAGATTCTTCTGGTTCTTGGGAACCGGCCAGTCAACAATGGCCTTGACCTTGACCGGGTCGGCCCTCAGGCCACGCTTCCCGATGAAGCACCCGAAGAAGGGGATCTCTTCTGCTCCGAAGATGCATTTGTCAATGTTGGTGTACAACTTGTTTTGACGCATGCATTCGAGCACAGCACGCAGGTGCTCCACATGGTTCTCCATATCAGTCTTTCCGTGCTCCGCACGACTGTGGACAAAGATGTCATCGAAGTACGTTTGCGCGTACGCCCGATGGGGCCTGAAGAGCTGCGTCACAAGACGATTAAACGTCGCTGGCGTGTTCGAAATCCCTTGGGGCATCACCAACCACTCCCAGAGCATGCCGCTCGGAGTACTCACCGCAGTGAGAGGAATGTCGCTCGTCCTCATGAGCAATTAGTAATATCCATCGACCAAGTCGAGCGCACTGTACATCGTACATCCTGTCATGTTGTTCTGAAGGACATCCTTCCGAGGAATCGGCGTCTGCGCCGGAATGGTAGCGGCATTTAGCTTGTTGAAAGCATGCACGATACGCCACTTGCCATTCGGCTTTCTGACACAGAACGTCGGCGTAGAGTGTGGAGCCTTACTCTCACGCACCATGCCCGCCTCGTGCTTCGCACGGAAGAACGCGTCAATGACGTCACACTGCTCCTTCGGCAAGGGCCACTGCCTCGTCACGCAGTACTTCGTTCCCGAAACGAGATCGATTTCGTGTCGAACACCTCGATCCGGAGGTAGCCCCGAGGGCGGCTCCATCGAGACCACGTCCTGGTAATCCTTTACCACTTGATACAAGGGATCCGACGGGTCCTTCAGGATCGCCGATCGGCTCCGCGCATTCAGCGCCATCTTGGTGTCTTCCAGGACAGCTTCATCCAGAAGCGAGGACGAATTCAACTCTTCTTCGGGTCGTATGACCACTACCTCAGCCAAGTCTCCAGCCTTCAAGGCTTCGCCGAACTCGGCCAAGGACATCTCGTCCAGCTCCAGGAGAGCAGACAGTGAGGGCAAGTCGTCGAGGTTGATACCTCTGTCGACGTCGCCCGTCACTCCATTTACGAGTGTATAGAGCTGCTCGCTCTCGCGTGGAGCCTCACCGCTCAACACGCCCTTCTCGACTCGTGAGATCGCAGACGCCTTGCGTCTCGCAGCCAGCGCTTTGCGGCGCTGCCTCCTCTTCATGGACACCGTCCGCCCTGAAGAGCTCCGTGATTTCGCGTGCGTCTTGACGCCAGGTGTCACCACCTCGTTCAGCTCCGGGGGAACTCCAGTGTCTTTACCGACACTCAGCGAAGAGCTGCACGATCCGCAGCCTCCACTCAGTGGATTACGTGCCACTCCACGATCTTCATCCGGGCAAAGCCCCTTATTCTTCGGCATCATACCGACCGCGCCGTCGCTGGCACGCAGCAGGGCGTCGCCCTCAGACGCACACCCGCTCAGCGGAATTCGTGCCGCTCCACCTGCCGTCCGCGAGCCACGCTCGGAACGCTACACACAGTGTCCACCAACTCGGAAACTCCGATGTCCAGCACATTGACCGACTCGGTCCAGTGCTCGCGCCAGAAAGCTTCTGCTTCCTAGCAGAGGTGGGTTCATGACTAGCCAATGCTCCGCAAGGAGAGAAGTGCGTGGCAGCAAGGGTCTTCGACCTCCAATCGATCCAAGGCTCGTGGCGTTCCAGCCACGCCATACCAAGGATGAGATCATATCTCGAATCGAGGTCTAAGACCGGACAGCGTTTCACGCTATCAAAATCCAAAAACTTCACGCCCAGGTCCACAGGGACCTTAGGCCCGTCGCGAGACGAACAGTGACGATGTCACTCCCGCGCGCTACCAGCGCCTCAGCATAAAGCTGACTTCCGTCCATCGTAGAACGCCGGGCGTAGTTACCCGACGCTCCCGAATCGATCAAAATCGTCCATGGCTTGGTGAAGCCCTTCACCCAAGCTTGGACAACTAGCAAGCCCGGCTTGCATACACGTTCCGTGTTAGAGAGTACGGCTCTCTTCGGGGCTAAGTCCTGTCGACCTCCACCTCGCCGAGGCTCAATAGAACTTAGTTCTTCCCCAGTAGGCCGCCCCGCGCCTACTGGGAGTTCTCGTTTCCCCGAGACGAACCAGATCCCTGGCTCGAACTAGAGGAGCGGTTTGACGAAGCCTGGCGCTGATGGCGCAGCGGGCACCCAGCACGAAGGTGACGGGTGTCACCACAGATGAAGCATCTGCGGATACCGCGCCGCTGCTCAGCAGCACGAAGCTCGGTTTCTTCGTCTTCAGCGTAGCTGAGGTCCATGGGTTCCGGACCATTCGACGAGCTAGCGTAAGACGCATTCCACCCAAGTCTCGACGACTTAAAGTTGTGCTCCGCATTCAATGCGACGCTCACAACCTCTTCAAAAGAGCTCGGGTGGGTTCGGAACACCTCCGTCCTGGCAACGCCAGTGCGGAGGCCCTCCGTGAACACCGTGACGGTGACTGCCTCCGGCAACGGGTCAGCAGACATTCCTGCAATGAGAGTTCTCAGTTCTTGGACATAGTCCACCAACTCCTTCTTGCGCCGCCGAGCAGACAGGAAGCGTGAGCGCACGCCATACGCCTCGTTAGGCGGAGCGAACACTCGAGACAATTGCTGTTTCAGCTGGTCCCACGTCGGGAAGGCCACCTCGACCGACGTAGTGCCCACTCTCTCGCTCGCCCACCGAGCTTCGAGATAGCTAGTGCCACGCACTGCGACTCCGTCCGGAGTAGAGCTGAGCTCATAGCCATCTCAACCTCACGGGTCCAAAGCATCAAGCTTTCACCCTCTTTGCCTTCGAAGGTCGTCACGCTCAACATGAGCGGCTTGGGTCTTGTTCCCGCGTCGAATGACGAAGCGGGCGCTTGGGGCGCCGCGGCCGTCGCCATCCTCTGCTGGAGGTGCTCTAGGACAGCATTCTCGTAGCTTGAAAACGCCTCGAGACGCGCGTTCACCGCGTCGGGGCCTTGCTGCGCAAGTTGCGTCACGCCCTCCGGACCCAGCAAGGACATAAGCTTTTTAAGCGCATCCTGCTGGTTCGGGGGTAAGTGAGCGAACTGCTCCATTCTCCACAGAGGGTCAGTCTATACAGACTCAGGTGTCGGATTGACTACAAGTGCTACCAAGTGCAGCGGGGCTGCCGTAGCTTTGCGTCAGAGGAAGCTTAACAGACTCACAGAGGCTCAGCTTAAGATAGCCCGTTCAAATACCAGAACGTACGAGTCCGTACTCCAAGAGTCAACCCTTAACTCTTAACTGTGTGAATCTCAAACTGAATGTATTTCCCTTTATTGCGGCAAAGCCGCCTACGGTGTAATTGTATCAGGTTCACTATCTAGCATAGTGAACCCTAGTCATACGCATAATCAGTGGCTCTGAAGCCATGTACTGATTCTCCTACTGATTTAGGTTAGACAGTGTGTACCCACTTCGTAACCCGTGGGGTAACTCTCGTGTAACCCCGTTACAACGTGGGAGCAAATTCAATTGATTGCGATAGTAACTGGGGGTGACACCCCTACTTACTCTATAGATTTTTGTATGAGAGTTTTTTTGTGAGGATGGGGCTTTAGTGAGAGCCGACCTTGTCTCGTATCTGTACCGGGGTCTGTTTTTCTCACGTCAGACCACGCTGCATTATGCAGGTGTAGCCTGAATATTCAAGTTCGGATATGCAGCTTAGTGTATGTTTAGACTTGTCCATACACATTCTCGACCGGCTTTACCCAGCTGCTTTCATTTCCCACATCCCTTTGTATACAAACCTCAAGTAAAATAAAGTTGCATATGCAGCTTAAAAAAATTGAAAATGCTTCGGGCTGGAGGGGTTTAGTACAAGCGTCATGCCCTCCCCCCACTGACCATATCGTGGTACCGAATTGTTTTATCTCCACGGAACCCGAGGGTCTTTTTGTTATCCATGTTGATCACGAAGTGAGCTTCATCCATATTAAATATGGTATCTTCATTCAGTTCCCCATTATCAAATGCCCGCTTCAGCTTTCCGAGATGGGCCGCAACACTTCGCTCAATCGCCACTTCTTTCTCGGGGCTGCATTCCAATTTGCCACATTGTTTCCGAGATAAAATATCGAAACAAGAACAGAAATGCTGAATCCATCGAGAACATACACGATCTTTCAGCATTTCTCCCTTTTCACCAATCGTCGTAGCCCGAAATTGTCCTGAAGAAGTACTTAATATATGAATCGCAATTTGATGCAGCAGCCCCCTTGACAACTTCACTCCTGTCTTTCGAAGACGGCAAAACTCGCCCAGCATTTCGCTGTACAACCACTCCACCCACGGCGCCCGTTTGCGCCCTCTGCCAGACGCTGCCTTCAGTCTCATTCGTTTCTTGACGCCACACTGCACTTTGACCACTGACTTACGTTTCTTCGCAGTGTGCTGGGCCCGCTCCTTCCACCATCGGCTAGCCTTCTGTAGGTTTGCTTTCTGATTGCCGGGAACAATGCCAGGAAACTGAGCCACGGCTTTGGAGGGTAGTCTAGTTTGCCCTTTACCATGAAGTTTCATCATGAACATCACAACCCGAGTTTTGTCGGTGAGAGTTGCAACTGATTGCGGCGCCCGATGTCCTTGATAATGCTCTCTAGCATCGTCATTATTTCTGGTTCCGCTGGTAGACTCGGCTGCAGTGTCCGCGTCAGCGCGAGGGTCGAGCGTGTCGCTGGATTGGGGTGCGTTGCGGTTTGACACGGCTTCGGTCGTTCCGCCCTCCCGGACAGCTTGACGTACATCGTTAGGTTTGGCCTGGCGCTGGAGAGGTGGCTGTAGGAAAGCTGCGAGTTTGCACTGTTTTAGCCCTTTTGTCGCTTGTGCCAGTACTGGTCCACGCTTCAGCGGAGCAGCGGAGCCTGGGCACGCTTGGCACCGGATGTGGCCTCCTTGCTTCTCCTCCACAGGCACACCACAGAATGGGCGGTTTCTGTTTCCGCACAGGTCGCAAGTATGGGAAACACTGGTAGTGTCCCCTCCGCAGCCGCTGCATGTACTCGCCATTCGTACTTGTCCTTATGTCCTCTTTGTTCGGTTCCACAATGAGTGGACTGGCTCCTTTACAGAACGCGTACAATTAGTGTGGGTTGGTGGCGCCTCACGAGGGAGGCAAAAATAGTGTGGCCCATACTAATTACGCACTCACACTATTAGCGGACCCACACTAATTACACTTCTTACTGTAGTGGTAAATCATAGTAGCTTTGAATGCGACTTGCTCAAGTCGTGTTTCGAAGCAGTTTGGCTCGGAAATGGCACTTTCGGAAAGTGCCAAAAGGATGCTAATCCATGCTGGATGTGCTAAATCATGCAGGAGATGACATATGCGCACTACTTATTGTGCTTTGCAATGATTTTGCCGGCCATTTTAGACGCTAAATATGGCAAAGCCTGCTCCTAAATATGTGTGAAAGAAGATACACGACCTCCATAAATCCACCTCCTCATATATATATCGACTTGGGAGGGCCTGCCAGCAGCCATGCATTGGCCCAGTACACCACCGTCCATGATCCTCAGCACATCCAACCTCTTATGCATAATTGCCGTGTGACTAGGTTTTGTGGATGAAAGCCGACAGAATTGCAGCTGCACAGCCACAATTGCACTTTCAAAAGTGCAATTGTGGCGCTTTTAGCGTAATTCTAGGCCTCCACCCATTTATGCACCTCGATTTATCGTATATCTAGCACGTGGTCGCTATAAATACAGCAAATCTCGCCCCATATTGCCAAAATCATTGCAAAACACAATACCGTAGTGCAATAGGTAGTTCTGATTGACCATCCACGACTTACAGCAATTCGTACTCGAGTACGATTTATAGATAAGTCGTGCTCAATAAGTCGTACGAGTTACAGTCTGAAGTGCCAAAAAGTCTGCAAAGCACCATATTTTCTGACTGCATTCATTCCCCCCCCCCCGTGTTTTTTTCGTTGGGTCTTTTTTCCGGTGTCAGTAGCAAGAGCCGAACTCGGTCAAGTATCTGTATGTCAGTGGTCGAGTCAACGATGAGTGGGTTCAAGACAAGGCAGCGTAAGGTGGCTATACCTCCATGTTATAGGACACATAACATCCGCAAGGTATGACAGAGCGCTGGACTTTGCGTAAAAGCCCCGGTTCTCTTCGATTCGACTGCTGCATGAGAACGTTAATATTTCTGATCAGGCCATCATTGCAGCCAGATGCGAATGCGACTTTGTCTTTCATGCGCGCGGCATTGAGGAGCAAGTTAAAATCGTGAAGCTTTTTAGCAGCAGGGAAAGGTTAGCTCGAGCTCGTCCAACGCGTCTACGCGATGATAGCCGAACTTGGGGAAGTCGTGTAGTATTTACGGGATGATGATCGCATTTCTTCCGGTACTGTTAACGACGCGTTTGTAAATGCTGGTGGCGGTTCGAGTACCACAATCACAGCGGCGCGAATTCCGCGGAGAACATTTCCCCAGAAACAGTCTTGATAGTATTCAAGGAAGCCTACAATGGGGGAATATTAAGGAACTTGTCAAGCTCCTCTCCATAAGCCCCCTTCATAAAAAAAACACAAGACCCTCATCCGTTCAGCTAACCACGCACGACAGGATGTAGTCGAGCTTGTGCAAACTCGACAAGCTTATGAAGCTACCTGATGCATAAGGATCACGGTGGTAAAATCGAGATATTGCTACGGCAATATCCAGCCTGCTACTTAAGTATTAGACTATTGCGCATCAGTATCGGAGTCGTTTAATAGCTTCACGTGCATTTTATCCTATATGAAGCGATGCAACAAGCCGATCCGTTAAGTATTTTATGATAAGCAGCAATTGATGAACCCTGCACCAAGCACTAACTACGATCCTAAGCGTTGTAATTTGATTTAGACAATCAGTCTAATAGGGCATCGCTTCGTGATTAGTTAGTTTTCAGATAATTTTCTGGATGTAATTTTCATGTTCTCGTTCGGTTTGTGAAATTAGGTTAATTAATGAACCCCGCATTTGTCAAAGGAGATCCAACGATTAGTATCGGTGTTAGTTGATGCACACGAACATCTTGCCATCCATGCATGTAGTCGGCATGGGTAAATGATTCTGTCATGCCGTTCGTTTGTAAGCGTGGGGGTCCGTAATATTCGAGAGCGAGCGGACTTGAGATTATGCGGGCGAGGCTTGGTAGTCGAGTGTTGGTTAGGAAGGAAATCCGAAAGTGAATAAAAATGAGTTAGGCCAAACTAACTATCATATCCTAGTCTCCGATGCTTAAACATGAATCGTACCAACGCATACCTCCTACTTCGTCGTAGGAGAGGCGGGGGAGCAAAAAGTAAATGTTGCAGATCGTATCCAGAAAGGCAACTTCAACTTGCCTTTCTCTCAGCCAATCAGAAGTGTCAAATCTTGGGGCTCAGCCAATCAGATACCAGTATTCCACCACGTCTACCACAGTTGTCTACCATCGGCAACAACTTCACAGCAAGCACGTGCCTCGATACGGAGACACACAACTAGACTGCGAAGTGTACAATCGCAACTCCCCCACTCAATTCGCAGTCTACCCGAGCATCTCAGTGATCTTACTGCGCTCCAGCAGATAGCAAAGAGTCTGCGTTGAGAGTCCTTTGGTCAGGAAATCAGCGAGTTGGTTCTTGGACTCAACGTAGTCGAGCTCCACAACACCACTCGTGATCTTCTCGCGGATGAAGTGATAGCGGATGTCGATGTGCTTGGTGCGAGCCTGGTAGCCGACATTATTCGCCAACGCCATGGCACCGTGGTTGTCGTCGTAGATCACCGTAGGTCCATCTTGCTCCGCACCCAAATCCTTGAGTAGTAGTCGCATCCACACCACCTCCTCCACACATTCGCTGAGTGCAATGTACTTCGCCTCAGTCGAGCTCAGCGCGACCGTCTTCTGAAAAGTCGATCGCCAAACCACGGGAGCATCACACATCATCAGCATCATTCCGCTGACAGAGCGTCTGCCGTCGCGGTTACCAGCCCAGTCGGCGTCCGAATACGCGACGAGCTCCGTGCCAAGCAATTCATCGTAGACGATTCCGAGATTCTTGGTCTTCAACAGGTACCGTACCACACGGATACCAGCATCCCAGTGCTTCTCACCGGGGTTCTCCAGATAACGACTCAGCTTGGCCACTGCAGCTGAAATGTCCGGTCGAGTTCCACACGCCAGGTACATCAGACTTCCCACGAGAGAGCGGTACGGCTTCGACTTCATCTTGGCCTTGTCCTCCTCGTTTTGGGGTTCGTCCACCTTGGTCAACTGCACACTTGGGTCAAGTGGAGTCAGGCACGGCTTCGCATTCCGCTGGCCGAACTTCTTGATGATCGACGCGGTGTACGCCCACTGGCAGATGTCCATCGTCTTGGCCCCCATGTCGTAGTCGATCTCGATGCCAAGGATGAATCGAGCGCGTCCGAGGTCCCTGATGCGAAACTTGTCCGCGATGCCTGCCTTCACCGAGCCAATGATAGTCCGCTGGCGAGATGCAATCAGCATGTCGTCGACGTAGAGACACACAATGCACTCGTCGTCACCAGCACCTCTCGCGTAGACACACGGGTCGGCATCAGCAGCTCGAAATCCCATGTCCTTGAGATGCGCGTCGATCGTCCCGTTCCATACGCGAGACGCTTGCTTGAGTCCATACAAACTCTGCAGTAGCAGGCAGACGACGTCATCTTCACCTTGAGCTTCAGCCAAATTCAGCAGTTCTCGAAGTCCTTCAGGCAACACCATGTAGATCTCCTCTTCGAGCTTTCCATACAAAAACGCAGTGTCGATGTCACACTGGTCAATTTCCATTCCGTCGGCGCAGCACTTCGCGAGTTTCGCACGAATGGAGTTCAGGTACACCACCGGCGAGTAGGTCTCCTCGTAGTCGATTCCATGGCGCTGCAAGTACCCCTTGGCCACAAGACGAGCCTTGTACCGAACGACTCTCCCCGTCTCATCGCGCTTCAACGCGAACACCCAGCGGCAGCCAATCGCGCGCTGGTGTTTGGGCTTGGGCATCAACTTCCATGTCTTGTTCATCATCAGCGACTTGAGCTCACTTGCGACCGCTGCCTTCCATTGGGCACGATCCTCACTCGTAATCGCCTCTTGATACGACCTTGGCACCTCCTCCGTTGCAGCCATCAGCATCCCACCGTGGATAGTGAGTTGGTTCTCGTCCGAGTTGGCGCGACCTTGGTCCACCTTCTGACGCTTCGTCCTGATCTCGGACGGCGCAACGACTTGGTTCTTGCGAGCTCCGGGTTCCTCAGGATCGTTGGTCTCTTCAATGTGACGAGCACGCGACCGAGTAATCATCGGATGGGTAGTGTACGGAACGATTGCTCCACCTGTCGTCACGTCATTCGGCAACATAGTCGGGCCGCCAACTTCAACTTCAGTCGAAACATCGCGAACAGGCACCAGTGCAGATACGCCGCCCGAGCTTGGTGCCGCTGGAGTCGAATCTTCATCGTCGTCAATCTCCAGGCGCGTCATCAGGTGATCGGGTTCCGTCGTCTCCATGAACTTCACAGTGCGCACGATTTGCACCTTTCCCGTCGCCACGTTGAGAACGCGGTATCCCTTCACACCATCCTCGTAGCCCAGGAATCGACACTTGAACGCCTTCGCATCCAGCTTCCGACGATTTTCATCGGCGATGTGGGCGTAGCCGAGTGCACCAAACACCTTCATGTTCTTGAGTTGAGGCTTGGCTCGGTGCACGATCTCGTGGGGTGTCTTGACGGTCACCGAATTCGGGATCCGGTTCATGATCCAGGCCGCCGTGTTGACAGATTCTGCCCACCACTTCTTGTCAATTCCTTCATGGTAGAACATGCAGCGCGCCATCTCCACCAAACTTCTGTTCATGCGCTCAGCCAATCCATTCTGCTGAGGCGTGTACGGAACTGTCTTCTCATGTTTGATGCCGCTGCGGTCGAGGTAGGCCTTGAACAGCTTGCCCGTGTACTCGCCGCCATTGTCCGAACGCAGGCGCTTGATCGTCTTGCCCGTTGCGTTCTCCATTGCTGCCTTGAAGATCTTGAACTTCGACAGCACCTCCGATTTCGCCTTCATGAAGTACACCGTCACGTGTCTCGAGTAGTCGTCGATGAAGGTCACTGCGTATGTGCAGCCTCCAGGTGTCTTGGTCTGTATCGGACCCATGACGTCCGTGTGCACCAACGTCATGTTCGGCGTGTTCTCGATTACGGTGCTGATCATCCGGTACTCGTCCATCAATCTGCCCAGCAGCAGCACGAGTTGGCGAGTCTCGTCCAGAGCTTCACCAATCGTCTCCATCTGCAGCACCAGCTCCTTGAGCCGGTCCACATGTGCCGCGAACCGCGTCCCGGGCTCCATCTTGAAGTTGTGCAACTTCTTAGTCACGACGAGCCGATTCTTGAGAGTGTTCCGGTTGAACTGCTCCTCAAGCAGGCGCCACGATTCAGCAGCGGTTGTCGCTCCACGGATGTAGACTTGGTATGTGAGACTCACGTCCCCAGCGATCACACCAAGGGCCTTCAGATCGTCAGTCTTCCATTGTACCGTGGAGCGGTCACTCAGCTGGTCGAACTCTGGCTTGACGATGTGGGCCGCAGTCCCTTGCGCGACAGCTTCACTCGCATGTTGAACTCCCAGTGGAAGTAGTTGTCTTCCACGAGCTTCACGGTGTCTGCGTAGCTTGGGCTCATAACCACTTGAGATTATGCGGGCGAGGCTTGGTAGTCGAGTGTTGGTTAGGAAGGAAATCCGAAAGTGAATAAAAATGAGTTAGGCCAAACTAACTATCATATCCTAGTCTCCGATGCTTAAACATGAATCGTACCAACGCATACCTCCTACTTCGTCGTAGGAGAGGCGGGGGAGCAAAAAGTAAATGTTGCAGATCGTATCCAGAAAGGCAACTTCAACTTGCCTTTCTCTCAGCCAATCAGAAGTGTCAAATCTTGGGGCTCAGCCAATCAGATACCAGTATTCCACCACGTCTACCACAGTTGTCTACCATCGGCAACAACTTCACAGCAAGCACGTGCCTCGATACGGAGACACACAACTAGACTGCGAAGTGTACAATCGCAACAAGCGGCCGCCACGCTTGAAGTTTTCCGTCGGTAGAACTCAAGACGCAGTGTCAGAACCACTCAATGCAATCTCCCAGCCACACTGCTTCTTCGTCTTGAGTAAACAGCGCAGACAGAACTGGAATGAGCAGTGCTGGACGGACCCAGTGTCCGACACGTCCATGACCATCTTTTTCAGCACACTGCACTTGGAGCACACTACCCGCCGGCAAATGGAACACGCCGTGCCCGACCCGGAATGAGTAAGCGAAAACTTGGAGAAGCTCTTCTCGCACGCCTCACAGTGCGTAGATTGCGTCGCATGACCACCAGATCGCCCGTGGCCGCTGTGCTTCATCAGCCACGTCAGCTTCTTGATGTACGCATATTGGATCAAATTCACACAGCAGAGAGCGGCATCCGCAGCGATCGCGACTGAAAGGCGGCCTGGCATCTCACCACGGGAATCAAAGAAGCCGCGAGTGTAGATGTCGACCTTGCCAGGTTTTCCCTGGCGAAAAACGTAGCAGAAGCTCATCAGTCCGCGAACGATGTTCAAGTGCGAGAGCTCGGGGATTTCTCGCAGTGCCACCGAGTGCATCAGGAAGTAGCCGACCTTCTCGCCGTTGCAGTCGCGCATGAACCCCAAGGACTCGAGGATGAGGAAATCTCGCTGCTGCACGATACCCGTGAGCACCGCTGGGTGTTCCTTGGCGAACTACTTGATGGCGAGGAAGCGGTAGGGGTCCTCCTCTGTTGGGCCCCTGATAGACGCCACGACTCGGGAGTCATCGATCCCATCGTTGATGTAAGAACTGCGCAGCTTCCACTCTTCGTTATTGGGGATAAAGCACCCGAACATGCAGTCGTCCAGTGTGCCATCCGTAGTGCCGTGAAGGGCCATGAGAGAAACTAAACTGACCTCTCAATGATGCTGTCGTCGGCAATCTCGGATGAAGAAGTCAGCGACGGCGACGAATCGCCATTCGTACCATGGCTCCTCCTGGCTGCTAATCTCCGGGCGATATCGTGAGAGTGTTTGGCTGGATGACCACGACGGACTCTCGATCACAGGAGCGGACGACTCCTTCCCTCGCTGCTTGATCGCCTTTCTGCGTTGGCGATACACATGCATACCCTCTTTCGTGCGAATCAGACGCCACTGCGGATCTCGGAGAACGCCTCCATCCGCGATGAAGGCGTCGTTCGCTGCCACAATCTCCTTCACGACGGTGTCGGCCTCTTCGATCAGCGCTTTTTGTTGGTCCTCGGACAACTCCACGAGGGGAAAGGCGTTCCTCGCAGCGTGAATTTCATTTATCTTGTGCCTTGTCAATTTCAAAAGTGCAGAAGTATGTGTGGTCCTCACTTTGCGATGAGGTTGGTTGGTACGGTAGCCACCCAACCATAGCTACCTCGATCCAACGCTGCTTGTGTGGCGGCTCTCTCCGAGAGGCGTTCATGGATGCGGTAATCGTAGAATAAACATGCTGTAGACCCCATTCACCTTATTCTTACTACAAAGTACTTCGAAGCAGTACAGTATATGAGCCATTTTACGGCTTCTGTACAAACATTTCGGGGATTAACATGTAAACCCACGACAATGGTATCCGATAGCCTTTAGATCGAGTTTTATTGTGCAACACCAGTGTAAGATTGAACGCCTACGTACATACAGTATGTACGCCTAAAACATCCAGAAAGTTTCACCGTACCGCTGTAAAACATGTACTTGAAAGGTGTGGTTACATTTTAAACGGTTCTTGTGCGGGTCTGGTAAGGTAGTTGGTCTGGTACGTATATTTGGCTGGTCAGTATGACCGTCAGCCTGATCCGTAAAATACCTGTAAGATACCGTGAACGTGGTGAAGGTCATGTGTATCATGTTTTAAGGGGGCGGACACTCGCCCGTTGGCTCTCGTCTGCGGACTTCAAGACGGGGGGGGGGCGCCCCTCTCTCGCTTCGCTTGGGGGGTGCCGCTGTGCGGCCTGCCCCACCCCCTTACTCGAAGTCCTCGACTCGGCCAGGCGCGGTGTCTAGAAAAAAAAATCGGGTTGCAGCGCTCCCCCGCGTGATCGGCGGGTGTTGGTGGTCAGTGAACGCACTGAGTGAGCCTCGCGCTCGCATTCGCTCGCCCTCGTCCATGAATTGATACCAGTACTTGCGTAGGCTACACGGCCTCGCCTATACTACCAGTTTATCTACAGCTAGATCGATATGTATTAGTAAGTCACCTAGGTCGCCAAGTGGTATTTCTCAGGTATGGATATGGGTCGGGCATGAAAACAATTTTATTTTTCCTGTAAAATATCCATAGGTCTGGAGAGGGTCTTACTGACCCGAAGCCTTACCAGACCCGCAAAAGACCCGTTTAATAATCTTCCAAAAGTGTGTACTAGTAGCATGATACAGATACTACTTCAAACCTGCGATCCATCCTGGATTACCTGTACAGTACGCGCTATTCCACCGACTTGAAGATAACCAGCGCAACGTGAGCATTTTCTACCAGAAATTACCGCACAACCAGATTCTCCGTACGAAGTCCATGCTAATTCTACTAACTTACTGGAAGAGATACCTTACACTGCGATGCCACGAAAGTGGCTGCACAGTCTCCGTCCTTACCCTAAAAGCTGCGGGTGCACTGTGGCATCGACATTGCAAAGTTAGCTTTGCCGCATATATACGTCTTATCTGCATGAACTGATCGTGCGCGGCTGCCTCGATGCGGCTGTATGGATACCTCACTGCCGGATCCAAAACAATTTAAATTACTTTTTTCTTGTACCGGTGGTGTTGGCCAAGAACATTTCCACTTCGATACAGGCATCGATTTTGGCGTCTGACGAGGAGATTGTGAGCTGCTTGGCTGCAGAACAAGCCCCATGAAGCAAACCGCTGTCATCTCCCTGGGCCAGCCAGAGATTAATGGTGAGGGCGCAGTTAAATGTTTGTATGCCAGTGGCCCATCCGCGCTAAGATGGCCCGAAAAGCTTTCGCTTATGCAGAGCATTGTGGCATCAATGTCATGGCGCTTCTGCTTGATACAGGGGTATTACAATAGAGCTTCTGATAGAGCTTTGGATGTCTAGCATCACAAATTTAGTGCTCCTCCTGCAGCTGTATATCATTTGAATCTACGAACCGTACTTTATTTTGTTGACCATATTAGCAATATACTATCATTTTCCTTCTCTGATGTACATGTTACGCCTGCTGTGCCGTTGCGGGCGTATATCATGGTTTTTCATCATAGGATGATGGGTGTTCGTCGCATCCAGAATCAGCAGCTCATTTATGCTGTCTCCTTAGCACCTAATTTTATCTGTCCTTGCGATTGACCACATTGTTGAAGTGCGTCGGGTAGTCTGGAGAGGCGCTGGATCCACCTCTTGTGGAGCTACTGAGACCTGAAAGCGTCATGAGCTCTGTGTGGGAAGAAGCCTACGATGAGGCCTCTGGACGCGCCTACTACTTCAACCGCCTGTACGCTCACCTCGCTCTGCCAAAACTGCACCAAACCAACGCCATGCTCTAATCCACTCACTGGTCTCTTTCGTGCAGCACGGGAGAAACCTCGTGGACACTGCCCGGTGAACCAACGTCGGAGGCTGCGGCTTCCGCTACCGAGAGCGCGTGGCAGCAGAGCTTCGACGAAGCCTCGCAGACCGCCTACTACTACAACATTTATACGGGCGAGACATCATGGACACTACCGGAAGAGGCTGGGCAAGAGACAGAAGATGTCGACCTCTCCTATCTCGTCTTCGCCGTGGTGCGTCTGCAGTCCATGTTCCGTGGATTCAGAGACCGCAAGCGAGTGCGCCGCCTCGTGAAGGCTCAGTACCAGTGCAGCACGGACCCCGACACTGGGAAGACGCTGTACACCCACTTGAAGACGAACGCTTCATCGTGGACGAAACCTGCTCTGTTCGGGCTACTTCATATCCCCGATGACGGAGGTGCCCAGGAAGAAGACGATGAGGACGACGATGCAGACGACGACGATGACGACGACTTTGAAAGTTTCCAGCAGGATGCTGCGCGTGACGCTGAGGAGGAAGGAGAGATCACCGCGGCACTCACTCAGAACGACGGTGGGGACGTCGAACTGGACGAAGCGACCAAGAGGAAGCAGCAGCGTAAATACCCCCGCTCCAAAGCCCAGCTGATCGTCGACGCTGCGGAAGATGCTGGGTCAAACGCCCAGCTCCTGGATATGAGCGGCCTGGACGCGTGGAAGCTCTCCTCTCGCATCTGGAACCTGCAGTTCCTCAAGAAATTGGTCTTGTCGCACAACTGCTTGACGCGCATCCCGTCCGGAATCCAGGACTTGATCCACCTCGAGGAGCTCGACGTGAGCCACAACCAGCTCACGCGTCTCCCGTCCTGCCTGCAGACAACGACGACGCTCACAGAGATCCGAGCGTCGCACAACTTCATCCAAGCATTCTCCCCCAAGCTCTGGAAACTTCGCGAGATCCGCTACCTCGACCTCTCGCACAATCGACTCAAGGAGCTGCCGTACGTGGAAGGAGACTTGAAGCTGCTCCGAGAAACGAGGGAGTGGCAGGTCGGCGTGGGCTTGTTGGCGAGGCTTGAAGTGCTGCTTCTGAATGACAATCGGCTCGTGGAAGTGCCCAAGTCCATCGAAAAGTGCAGCGAGCTCACGCTCTTGGACTTGTCCAACAATCAACTCACCGCATTAAGAGACGAGATCCCAGCACTCGCCTCGCTGAAACGACTGGTGCTGCATCACAATGCTCTGCGCTCGTTACCAGAAGCCATTGGCAACCTCTCCTGCTTGGAGGAGTTTGATCTCGCTCATAACCGACTGCTAACTCTCCCAGAAAGCATCGGGGCCCTGCACAAGCTCGAAATGCTTCTCCTCTTCTCCAACCAGCTGAGACTGCTGCCCAAAGAGTTCGGCGCGCTGAGCCAACTGCGCCACCTCAACCTCGACAACAACCCGAAGCTCATCAACCTCAAGGACTTTTTCGGGCACTTGTCGAGCGTCTCGTTCTTTTCTGCGTCGTCGTGCGGCATCGTCACGTTCGAGTCGTTGGACTTCCTCAAAGACTCGCCCGTTCGGACGCTCCGACTGCGACAGAACGCGCTGCTCGAGTTCCCGCTGCTCATCGGCCACGCAGCGATGCAAGACACGCTTCAAGAGCTCGTGCTGGCTGGCAACCACCTCTCACAAGTGCCACTGGCTGTGTTACTGTACTGCAGCCACCTGCAGCACTTGGACCTCTCGAACAACTCGCTGCGCGTTCTCCCCACTGAAATCGCCCACCTGCGCAGGCTTAAGGTCTTGTACCTCAGCACGAACGAGTTGCAGGAGCTGCCTGACGAACTGACGCAGCTTCCTCGCCTGCGAGAGCTCACGTGCGACCACAACCAGTTGGAGAAGCTGCCTCTGCGCGTCGGGAACCTATCGCAGTTGATAAAGTTGAATGTGTCCTTCAACCAGCTCCGCTCCTTGCCAACGTCCGTGATGGAGCTGACGCACTTGCAGTCGCTGTATGCCAGCGACAACTTGCTGTCTGGTCTCCCGCCCGCAATTTCCCGTGTGAATTGCTTCTGCGAGTTTTCCAACAACCCGTTCACTGCTCTGCAGCATCAGCATCAGCAGGACCGCCGAAGTCGCCTCGCTCGTGCCTCTAAACTGATTGACGCTGGGGACTTTGACAAAGCAGAAGAGCTCTTGTCAACGCTGATAGACGAAGTGAAGGCCCTTCCTCATGTTGACCAAAACCACGAGAGCTCTCAACTCCACTACAGACGTGGAGTGTGCCGCTTCATGCTTGTAAGCATCCACTTGACTTGCGTGCGTGCATTGTGGATTCTGATGGACTTGTGGTGTGTGTTGTATGCCACAGCTCAAGCGAGCGAGACAAGCGATCGACGAAGTCTCTACTGTGATTAGCGCTTGCGAGCAGGAAATGCACGGGGCTGAGCTCCTTCGCGCTCGTCAACTGCGACTGAAGTCGAAGCAGAAGAAAGCGCACGACCAGCAACCGGAATCGCCAAAGCTCCACTCGGACAACAGCAACGAGTTCCAGCCTGAAGATTCGGTCAAAGAAACTTACACGAAGGCTGCGAACAAGCGCTTGCAAGCCAGACAAGACCACGAACGTCTCGGCAGTGGAGCATCGAAAGACTTCCAAGTGGCGATAGAGTTCGAGTGCCCAGAGCTCGCAACCACTTATTACCTCAAAGGGCTCGTCCACATGGTGCTCCATCAATATCCTGATGCCGTCGATAGCTTGACAAGGGCGCTCAAGTGTGTCCATGCTCCACTTCCAACCCTCGAACCCACAGACAACCAGCAGGAAGCCATCGCCGAAGATGAAGCAGCCCACTTACCAACCATCCCCGAAGCAAGCGTGCAGCTCTTCTTGCGTCGAGCTGAAGCATATCGCGGCCTTGGACAACTACCGTCGGCGATTGCAGACTTGCGCCACGTTGTGTCCCACTACCCGATCCAACGCGACGTCACTGCTGTTACGACGCTCGAGAGTGAGTATCTTCAGGCCTGGGAGGCTGAACAAGCCGCCTGCGCCGTTGACGACGCCGCGTTGCTTCGTGCCTTCAATATCGAGGCTGCATCCGGTCTTGCTCGACGGCCTGAAGTCTTGGACATTCACGCTGAAGCTCTCGCCGCCGCTACAGCAAAAAAGAAAGCCGGTAGTAACAAGAGCTCAGCCACCACTACTAAGCGTTTGCCACCGGCCGAACGTTTTCGACTCGACTGCGAGGCACACATCGAGGCGCTTCAAGTGGAGCGGAAACAAGGTCGCGCCCCATTCGAAGAGATCAGCGCCCGAAGTCGCGCGTTCCTGGCCCGAGCTCGCGACTTCAAACGCGAGATCCGCGCGAACCTGCAGATGGAAATGGAGGAGACCCAGCAACGCCACATCGAGCGAGAAATCGCGCGCGAAGCCGAGAGGAGGCGCCTGGAGCACCAGCGCGAGGTCGACGAGCGGATGTCCATGAAGTACGAGGACGAGTGGATGCGCTGGTTCGTGAGCGAGGAGCTCCGCCTTGAAGACGAGCGACGGCGTTGCGCGGAAGAAGCTCAACGTCGCGCGGACGCCAAAGTCGCGTACGCTGCCAGACTCGCTAAACGCGGGGGCAAGCGGCAGGCGGCTGTGGGTCAACGCGGCAAAGGCAACTCGAGGCGCTGAACACAGAGCCCACTAAATCACCAAAACATCAACAGTTAGGTAGAAACAACAGCAAGAAGACCCTTGAGCACTAACAAGGTCAAGTGTCTAACTTGGAGGCCCTTTATTGCATCAGTCAGCTGGCTGATATTCTGCAGCCACAGGTCAGAGCCACAGCGTTTTAGCTTCAGCAAAGTCCGAGACCCACCACCTGCCCAACCCACCTCAGGACTTGTCGAGTGGGCGGTTGAAGCCGCCGCGGCGGTTCATGTACTGGCGGTACTCGCGCTTGTTCTCGCGCCTTGCGGTGCCCACGGCCGCGCTCTTGAGGTTCTCCTCCACCACTTTGCCCTTGGTGGAGTCGAAGCCCCCGAAGCCGAGCAGCAGCTGCATCTGCTCTTCCTCACTCAGGTGGGACATCGTGTTCACCTCCTCCTCCTCCTTCTGCTCGGGCTTGGGCTGCTGCACGTTCTCCTTCGGCCTGCATAGCACAAAGCAGGTAGAACACGTTAATGTTACTTTTCCCACTCTGCCATTTTTGGGCAAATATTGTAGAATCGTTCTACCTTTCGGCATCATTCGTCCTTCGAGACGTAGAGCGGGAGGTAGAACGCCGCCCGCGCGACCTGCTGCGGCTCCTACTGCGGCTGTAGGAGCGACGGCGGCGGCGCCGTTCTACGCTGCGACTGCGGCTGCGTCGGCGACTCCTACTGCGACTGCGGCGGTCCCGGCGGCGGCTGCGCGACGGAGAGCGAGAGCGAGAACGCGAAGGAGAGCGCGACGCAGACACGGAGCGGCGGCGTCTGCGGCTGCTGGAGGGCGCGTCACGGCGCCGGCGCCGGCCCAAGCTGTCGAGGGAGCCGCTGCGGCTGCGACTCCGCGGCATTTTCAAATGTTGAATATTGCGATTTTGAAGTTTGAAGTTATACGGAATTGTTATTGTCATAAATTAATATTCTGAGACGTATCGCTATATTTCAGAATGTGTATTGCTATATTTCATAATTCGCGCTCAAAACATGTAAACTAGTATGCACGCTCGTGGTTACCGTATTGTTGAAGTACCGCAAAAACCGGATAAATGCAGCACCATTTTACTATAAGACAATGTATGGTGCTGCATTTTTCCGATAGGTGCAGTAAATTCAAGTAGAACCAGATGTGATCAAAACACGGTACCAAGTTTAGATTACGGATCACTTTACGGTTGAACTTGAGAGCAGGCGATGCTCGACAGCCGTCACTGCTGGACGCGTGGCATTTCAGAATCAACCAACTCTCGAAGCCACTTCACCCCACGCGACCTCCACAATGCCCAGGGAACGAATTCCTCTGTCCTACACCAACGCTTTCAAGCTGCAACTCGTGCTCGACTACATCGCCGCCGCCAAGGACGGCATGACCAGAAAAGCGTTTTGCACGCTACGCGATGTCAAACGCTCAACGCTGCAAACATGGCAGCGGAAGCTCGATAAGCTGATCGCTGTGTCGGAGCGCCGAGGAACAGCCCACCCGTCTCGCGCAAACAGGCTGACACTTGGAGGCAGCGGCCGAGTCTCACCGTCCGCGCCTGTCGAAGACGCCGTTGTGACCTTCATCAAGGACGCGAGGCGGGAGGAACAAGTGGTGACGCGCGACATGATAATCGCAAAGGCAACGGAGCTGGCGCCGGCGTTCATGGAGAGCAAAAGCGTCGACGCGCAGCTGCAGTGGTGCGCGCGCTTCATGCGTCGCAACGGCCTAACGATTCGCCGCATCACCCACTCTGGACGAAAGACAAGAAGCGATCTAGAAGAAGCAAGGCTCTCGTTTGTCTCGGAGGTGCTGAAAGTCGCCCAGGAGCGACCCCCGCCTGGGCCTCGCGCCTAAACGAACCATTTTCAATATGGACCAAACGTCCATTTACAGTACATGGCCTCACGAACTACGGTGGAGGTGGTTGGGGCTACGCGCGTGCCAACGCTGACGGAAGGAAGCGACAGCTACCGCTGCACCATGGCCGTGACTGTTGCGGCCGATGGGCGCAAGTTCCCCCCGCATTTTGTGTTCCAAGGGTGACGTCGAGAGGGAGGTCAGAAGTTACTGCGAGGAGGAAGTCGCCACGTTTTCGGTCCAGGCAAAGGCGTGGTTCGATCTTCGAGTCATGCTCGACTGGATCGAAAACGCTTGGAAGCCTATCGTGACGGAGCCATCGCTACTGACCTTAGATAGTTTGAAGGTTCACAAGATGGCGGAAGAGCTCGATGCACTGGCGTGCACTGGGACGGCCGTGCAGTTCGTGCCCGGTGGCTGCACGGGGGTGACCCAGCCGCTGGATGTTGGCGTCATGGCGCCGTTGAAACAGCACATTCGCAAGGGCTACTCGAACCGTCCAGCTGGAAGACCCCGCAAGATAACACCGGGTGAGCGTCGATACGGCATGTACTGCCGCGGGATATCGGGCTGGGAGAGGATCACCGAAGACACAGTGCGCAACTCGTTTCACAAGGCGGGGCCATTCGTCCAGTACGGCCCTCCACTTCACGGTTGAGATCTCGTGCAAACGTACTTAATCAAACTAGTACGGTAACTCTTTGAATACAAATTTCAAGTCTATCCACTTTTGACGATTCGTTCAAAACGAGATGAGGTGATGGGACAGGTAACTCTCCGTTAACGCTGATTGGCTACTGTTTTCTATACAACCGATACGGAGTGCTGCAATTTTGCGAGTGCTGCATCTATCCGGTTTTTGCGGTAGCCTCTTTAACCTCTGGTACACTGTACCTCAAAGCTGATAGCCAGTGATCTCAGACCCTCTTATAGCTGTTATTTTCGTATTTAGTATGGTATACAGATATACACAGTAATATGCTCTGCACCAGCCATCTACTGCGCTCTGGCTGATGCTCTCCTCGCTAATACACTTACTTCGTCTTTTGACGCCTCCTACACACTTGTATCTTCTTCTCTACGCTCCCTACGCTCTCTACCTTCGCATTCAGAGGTTATGAGCCCAAGCCAAGCCTCAAGCGACGACTTCCCGCGCCTCATCGGCGCCGAAAACTTCGATGTGTGGAAGACTCGCGTGTGCGTGGCCCTCAACGGCAAGCATCTACTCGGCTACGTACAGAAACCCGACTACGATGGCGTGGGAGGAAGGAAACGATAAGAGCGAGAGCGACATGTCCGACTCCGACGATGCAACGAAGACCAAGCCGTCGGAGAGAGTCGACGTCGACTCGGACGCGATGGACTACGACGAGGAGAGCGAAGATGACAAGCAACGGTCCGACTCTGATGAAGACTCCGGAGACAACTCGGACTCCTCCTCCAAGCGCAAGAAGCTGCTGGTAATTCGACCATTCAGCCGCAGCCAAGGCAAGCGCGGTGCCAAAGAGAAGTCTCAGCCTCTGAACCCGCGTGAGCGACGTCAGCAAGAAGCCAAGACCAAAGCGTTCTTGATGAAAACCATGGACAACACCCATGTCCGACTGGTGAAGAACCTCACGACATCCTACGAGATCTCCCAGTTCATTTGCCATAAGTATGAGGGTGCTGTATTCCACGGCGACCCCTACTTCATCCAGCACTACTTGATGGAAATCAGGTATGAGGAGGGCTCAGACCTGACTAAATTCTTCTTGAAGCTGGAGAACGCGATGAAAGCCGCGCAAGAAGCCACCGACACGGTGATGGCAGAGTCGCAGAAGTCGACCTACCTGTTTCACTCCATGCCCAAGTCAAGGAAGAATGACCTCCGCATCTGGAAAGGCCAACGGAAGTATATCCCGTACGAAGACTTGAACCAGAGCATCGAGGGCAAGGTCCGTGACATCCAGACTCAAGAGCGGTATACGCTGTCTAAGGGAATACCTGAGACCAGCGACACCAAGAACGAGCGTGCCCTAGATCGCAACGGGAACTGCAATTGCTCTTACTGTGACCGTCCATGCCATAACATTCGTCAATGCCGCGGACTACAAAAGGACCTGCGAGACGGACGAGTGAGGCACGGTACTGCCTGCGAACTTCGCTTTCAAGGGCAACTCGAAGCGCGACCATCCGTATCGCAATTCCAAGAGCTGGAGCCAGCACCAAGGACGCAGCAACAACAGCAACAACAACGGGAACGGTCGCAGAGACAAGCACCACGGTAGCCGCAAGCACAAGCATGATGGCAACGGTGGCAAGAATCGCAATACTGACCAAGGCAAGAACCGTCCTCTCGACTCCGACTCGGATGACGATGGCGATGATGGTGCCAAGCGCAAGGTGTTCCACAAACAGCGCCGCGATACCGGTTTGATTGCAGTTGCTACGACGGTCAACCCTCCCATCAGCCTGGCCGCCCAAGCCAACGTTCAACTTGACCCTACCTGGACTATTGACTCTGGATGCACGCGCCACGTGACGCACGGATCCCAGTGGTTTGCCGACATCGCAACGAGTGGTGGCTTCATCACAGTTGGCGGCAATAACCAGATTCCAATCGAAGGAATTGGACAAGTTGAGCTGGAAGTCGTTGACTCCAAAGGCAACTCGAAGACGCTCACCCTTCATGGTGTCCTGTACGCACCGCAGTTGCACTTCAACCTGCTATCGGTCCCAGCCGCAGTGAAGCACGACTACCGCTTCAACTTTGACCACAAACACTGTGCTGTGCAGACCGACCAGCGCTTTAAGCTCAAGGCGCTCATGGCGACCAACACGGACCTGTACCAGTTCCAGGCTCAGCCAAAGGCCAATGCTACGGCCCTCATGGCCAAAAGTAAGCAAAGATTCCTACTGCTTATGCACAAACGCCTTGGACATCCTAACGTTCGCATTTTGCATGACCTATCTAGGAGCCAAGCCATTGATGGACTCGATGATTCTGTGGTTGTAGATCCTACGGATCAGTTCTTCTGTGTAGCCTGCACGTTAGCAAAGTCACACCGCGCCCCATTCTATTCTAATAGAGTTGTTTACCGTGCTACATCTCCTTTGGAAAAGGTGCACTCAGATATCTGTGGTCCATTACCTGTGCCTAGTCTTACTGACTGTCGCTATTTTTTATCTTTATCGATGACTTTTCTCGATTCATGTATCACGAACCGTAGTGAGCTGAATGAGTGCTACGAGGACTTTCGGAGAAAAACCCTGAATATCTTCAGGCGGGACATCCATGTCCTGCAACACACTCGGACTCTTATAGAAGATCATGATATTCAACGGCTCCAAGCAGGTAATGCGAAAGAGTATGAAAAGTTTGGCCGTCGGATCTTCAAGAAGTACGGTACTCATGCACAGTTTACCAACGCATACACACCTCAGCAAAATGGTGTTGCGGAACGCCGCATGCGCACAATCATGGAGCGAGTGCGTGCACTACTGCTTGACGGGAAGCTTCCAAAACAGTTTGTGGGCTGAATGTGTGTGTCATGTTACTACACTGAATAATATGACGCCCAGCTCCAAAACGGATGGCCGGACCCCGTATGAGCTTTGGTACCGTCGTATCCCATCCATGACCTACATGAAGGTATTCGGATGTAGTGCATACGTGCATATCACGGAGCAGTATCGTGACAAGCTTGACCCTCGAGCACGACTGTGCATGTACCTTGGCATACCGGACCACAAGAAAGGGTATCGCCTGATGGATATCAACACACACGCTATTGTCTATAGTCGTGATGTCGTATTTAAGGAGGATGAGTTCCCCCCTCTGGCGGACTTGACGCTCAACCCTGAGCACAGTCCAGCTTTGTAAAAGGACCAACGTGCCACCATACCGGGTCCCGCACCTGCAATGACTACTCCTGCAAACCTGTACCTGCAACGACTCCTACTGCAGATCCGGCACCCGCTCCTGCTGGCCCTGATACACCTACTGCTGCCATTCCTCACACCCTACAATCGCGCAGGGGGGGGGGCTCTTAATCGGGATGAAATATATTACTCCTTACGAACAGAGACCAAGTCCGAATCTTCCTTACCACCGGCGCGTAAGCGGTCCCGTCTCAGAAAAGACCACGAGGAAGCCAACCTCAACTCTGAGGAAGATCAGCAGGATCAGGAAAGGCGTAGACAACTACTGTACACATTACTAGCTATTCGGTATGTGACAGAGCCGCCTACGTATCGAGTGGCAATGCAGACCGCTCATGCTAAGCGATAGCGCAAAGCAGCCAAATCAGAATATAAATCCCTAATGGAGAACAACACTTGGGTGCTAGTACCCCGCCCGAAAGGACGGAAGATTCTCACAAGCCGATGGGTCTTTGTTGTATAGTATATCTCCGCACGTGGGAGCCGCGCGCTAAGCTGGCTGAGGATGACTTCGTGGATGAAATGGCCATCGTCGATCGCTGGAAAGCATCCGACGTCGAGGATTTCGAAGCGTTCTGGAAGATGGATGATGTCGGCAAATACTTGCTGGGTGCGGACACGGAAGGTCTCTGCATCTTCAACGCGCTCAAGCGACCAGCGGAGCTAGTAGGCCGTCCGGATGTCGTCACGCAACAAGACATTGACCAGCTTGTCCACGACGAGCTGGTGCTCTACCAGCGTGACCTGTCCAAAGGTACAAAGTGGAAGATCGTCCTCCGTTTTCTTCGTCGACTTCGAGATGCAGGCCGCGACTTCATCTACAACGCGATCGCGAATTACAACTACGTTGTTCCAGGACGTCGCGGGGCACGCATGTTGGCGGAAATCGAGCTCACCGACGGGATCTACATCAGCGCAGCCTACAACCACAGCTTCGTCGGCCATGGACTCGTGCTGACCGTTTAAGGCAAGACCCGTCCTTTCGTCATCATCAACTAGAAGATGACGATCGGAGTCGGTAGGATTTCCGCGGGTTTGCCTCAATGACAATGGACTTTCCCAGCAAAAATAAAATAAAAAATGTTTCTGTGCATGGACTCTAATGTATTAAATCGTGCGCCTAGGTAATTCGGTACTTGACCAGGAAAACCTCAACGAGGGAAAACCTTGTGCGAACAAATGATAAAACCCAGTGAAAAAAAAACTAAAGGAACGCAATAGATAGGCACGCTTCATGCAATTATATTATCGTTGTCTTACTATACTGACTAGCCGGATAAAGCTTCCATGGAGTGTAACCTGAGGTTGGCCCTTAGTTCTCTGAACTGGTGCTTGTCTAAAGCTTTTGTAAAGATGTCAGCCACCATCTTTTTCGTTTTACAATAAGTGACGGTGAACTCGTGTCGCTCAGCTTTCTCTTGCACAAAACAGAATCATATGTATATGTGCTTTGATATTCCGTGAATGTCGGGGTTGTATCAGATTTTAGTATAGCTCTGATTGTCCTCATGGATAACGTTGCCTTGTGTTGTATCAAAGCCAAGTTCTTGAAGGGGGAGTTTGAGGAATATCATCTCTTGCATGCAGTGGCATAAGGCAATGTCCGCAGCCTCCGTTGTGGACAATACTACTGTGTGGTGCTTGCGCGAGAGCCATGAGATTGGACTGCCGGCTAGCATAGTAACATAACTACCCACAGAACGTCTCGTATCAGGGCAGTTTGCATAGTCAGAGTCACTGAATGCTGTTAAGTTGTCGGCTAGGTTCTCCGGTGTCATATCGAGTGACCCTCCAAGGAGAAGGCCATAGTCTTTTGTACCGGATAGGTACTTGAAACCTCTGACGATAGCTTTCCAGTGCCCCATTCCCGGATTGGCTAGGAACTGGCTGACTTCGCGCATGTAGAATGCCATATCAGGTCGAGTGTCTACCATGAGATTGGTGATACTACCAACGGCTTCGCGATACGGAATATCTTTCATCGTACCTTTTTCAGCTTCACTGCTAGGCTGGCTGATAATAGAGAGTTTAGTGTTCCGTTTTGCTGGAGTTGCAATAGGATACGGAATGTAGTCGCTGAATCTGTCAAGGACCTTCGTAGCGTACTTATGCTGGTGGATGAATATCGTTCGGTTCTTACGGTCACGTTGAATAGACCAGCCGATTTGGTACTTCACCACCCCTAAATCTGTCATGGAGAATCGCTTTTTCAGGGCGGATTTCAGTTCGTCCACGAGTAGGTGCAATAATCAAAAGGTCGTCCACATAGACTGCGATGTGGCAAGTCACACCGTTAACTGTGCGTTTAAATACACAGCTGTCCTTAATGAGTTTGTGGGACCCCAGACTCTCTAGGAAGGCAGATAATGTTTTGTACCAGACACGGGGAGCTTGTTTCAACCCGTACAGACTCTCCAGGAGTTTACACACGAGGTGCTCCTTGCCCGGGATCTGAAAACCTTCCGGTTGAGCCATGTAGATTTCCTCCTCGAGAAAGCCGTTGATGAATGCCGTTTTTACGTCCATCTGGTGGATTTCAAGATCTAGCAGGGCTGCAATGGTGAGGAGGAGTCTGAGTACTTCCATTCTGATAACAGGAGAGAATATCTCGTTATAGTCAATGCCATGTTCCTGTAGGAAGCCTTTGATAACAAGACGCGCTTTGAAGCGGTCAATTTCACCTGTGCCGGTTGAGCTTTCTGCAACTACGATCAGGATGCACCCAGAGTACATGGTACTGCAGCCCTAGAGGCGTCTGCCGCCGATCATTGATGTAAGCCACTTGCCACTTCTCAGTGGTAGTTGCATACTCCGCATCCACAGTGAGATCACTCTCCTTGTAGTACTCGTCATAGATGGGATGGAACATTTGGTCGATGGGAGTAGACTTGCGGACTGTGCGAGTAGCCTTTTGGACTGTGGCAGCTGTTGTACGGTTTGTGTCAGTAGCCCCGCTGACTGTGGCAACAGTCATGTGGTCGGTGTCATCAGCCAGTTGCGCCACTGACATCGCGTCCCAAACAGTTTCTGGGTCTTCATCGTCGACTACAGCAGCTGGTCTGCCACACTTGCCGTTTGTGCAGTATGCTGAAGCCTCGCCGTTCATGAAGGTGCAGATCAAGCACAGCCAGTCCACATTCGGCTCCTGCTCTGACAGGTCTGTGCCAGGATCAGTCTGGTTGGTGGCAGCAGTCTGATCGGTGTCACTAACGACGGCACTCACTTCTGTGACACCACGTGCCGGCTGCAGCGGCTCAATGGCCTGCTGCACCTCCACCTCGGCGGCCCCCGCGGCTGTACCCTTAGACCTTCCTTGAGATGACAGGACAGCCGTCGCATCAGCCGCAGCGCGGCGCGCCGCCCTGGCCTTCTTCATGTTGCGCGACTTGGCTGCAGGTCGATTCTTGCGTTTCTTCATGATCTTGTCGAACGCTTGAGCTGCCGGCCTGCCCTGTAGCACAGTACGCTTGTTAATACCAGTCACCCTCACCATGGCGTGCCCAGCGTGACGTTACTTCACAGGCAGCAGAACTGCAAGCACTAAGTCACGTCAGCAGACGCGGGCGTCCTTAGGTATTGGTGACTGTTGCCAGGCTTGCGCGAGGCTGATAGATACCGTATCGCCCCTGTCCTAAGCGAACGTCAATGTGCGTTCTAAATGTTAGGGTTAATTTCTTGACTCACGAATTAGTGCCCAAAAAGGTACGAATTATTTTCGTATTTAATTGAGGCAAAAAATATGGACACGCCGGGAATTGAACCCGCGTCCATCCGCTCAAATCGCGGTGCTCTTGCCAATTGAGCTACAAGTCCAAGCTCGCTTGATTACCTTCGCAATTGCATCAAGGGCAAAAACATCGATGTATTAAGTCAGGTTAAAACTCGTCGTCTGAACTATCACTGCTGGCGTATTAGTCGTCCGATCTGACTGCCTTTCCTGTAACGCCGAGCAAGCTCAATTGGTCCAGCATATCAGTGATGGTCTCGATACCGTTTGTCTCGTCTTCGGCTTGACAGGTGCGCGTATCACCAAGGAGACCAGCCTTAGCAAACCCTCCGACGATTGTCTGAGAGCTAAGCTCGTCCCAGCTCTCTGCAATCCACGACGTGATGACAGTCCGCTTGGACGCAACCATTTCGAAGGCAGAGCTAGGCATCTGATCCTGAATGCTTGCGATCTGCTCCCTCGCCACCTCTTGCATCTCTTCCCTGGCTATCGCTGCCACTTGCTCGGATAATCTTCGCCGCTCCAGTGTCTGGCTACGCTCTTGTGCATGGTGCTCAGCGATCTGGGCGCGAAGACAATCCTCCCAGCGCCCTCGAAGTCGGCTTTTGAAAGGATGGTTCCAGGCAATGTCGGCTGGCTGACATACGTACGTGTAGCGCGGCGGCACTTTCATGAGGACTACATTGATAGACTTCGCGTAGTCAACCACCTGGGTCCATTGACCCGAGAATTCATCCCAGAGCAGAAGCAGCTTCTCGTCCATGTTCTCTCGATATCCAAAATGGTAACGAAGAAACTCGAGCGAGATATGGGAGTTCCACCACGCTGTAGCATTGCCGTAGATACAGCAGCCGTGTCGGGCTTGTAGCACAAAGACCTCCTTCCGCAAACGCACACCAAATCCATGACGCGCGGCATCATTGACGGCTTGCACGTGATCATGACGTGAGACCCCATTCTTGAATGCGATAAACGGGGCGTATTTATTCCCGTGCCAGTCTCCTAGCAGCATTGCGGTAGCTCGCTCCTCGTCCTTCCCGCTGCACTTAACCCACACCGTTTTCTCTCCGCGCTTAGTGATCGTTTTGCGAGGGGGATACTAAAAAACTACAGCTACAGCACGCATAAACGCTAAGAGTTAGATGCGGACAGAATAACACCTTAGGACAGCTCCTCACCTGTCTGGTCCACGTTGTACACGGTTGTGATCCCGTGTTCGATTATAGCCGCCCGGACGTCGGCAATGAACTTGGCCTTGGCAGCTTCAGCATCTTCGGGTGTCGTTTGCCCCTGTCGCGTTCGGGTACGGATCGAGCGTTTATGCCGTCGCATGAAGCGCCGACGCCGTGAATGCGACGCTTTGAACTTTTCCGGAGCGAGTCCTTCGTCGGCAGCAACCTCGAGTGCCTTGCACCGCAGCATCTGAGAGGTGACCGGGCAGCCTTCTTTGCGCATCGTGCTCATCCAGAGAACAATGGCGTCCTCAGCTTCACTAGACAGCACCGTTGCTTGACCGCTGCTACGCAAGTTCTTACGATGCCCTTTGCCGTCATTGCATATCGAGGCGATGTGAGCCTCTTGTTGTTTCCATTTAGAGATCTGCTTTTGCTTACGTGTTCTGTCATCAGCACTGCAAGGCGGATAAAAGTGATCAATTACCTCGTTTACTTTGTTCCCAGCAGCTAGAAAGTCGAGAGGACGAGGCGCTTGTGGGCGTAGTCGACAGCAATACGAGAGTATCTCTTCGGTCTTTTCCCAGTCCCAGTGGTGCGAGGCCTTCCCATCGCGCTTTCGATAATGCGCTCTAGTAGCTACCGACATACTGTACTCTCACCCTTAGCCAGTTATCTGAACCACGACGTGATTAATGGTCTATAATTAGCGAGCTTGATTCGGTATTTTAGCCCCGATCATCTGCTGAAAATCGGACACTCCTATTGGCTAAAATAAAAGTTCGCTTAGGAGAAAACTTCGCTTAGGACAGGGGCGATGCGGTACCCGAAATCCGGCACGACCACGCGTACAGTATACAATCATGCGTGAATAGGGTTACTAAACTGAATATACCTGTATCAGCACCTTGGCGAGGATAAGTACTGGAATACGTATTGTAGGGGTGTAAAGAAATAATGGATGTTTTATTGAAAATTGTGAGGTTACCTACGCTGTAGCCACTAGCATGATCTCTTCTTCGACTCGAGCGACTTCGACTGCTTCGCCATCGCCTTGTCCATCGGCGGTAAGCGAAAGCCCTGTGGCCGCGCTATAGGTTTTGTGTCCTTTGTCGTTCCAAACAACCCACCTTCTTCTTCTGAAGACGACGAGTCGAACGATTCCGACCGTCGTCGCTTGCTACTATTCCGGCGCTTTGGGGTACGGGCGCCACCGTCGAACAGCTGTTGAAAGGGTGCCGCTTGGATTCGCCGACCTCGTCAGTGGCGAATACGCGCGGATTTTCGTGCGCGAAATGTTCAGATAAGAGTGGCATTTTGAAAGGTTGAATTTTCGGGTTTTGAATTTTAAAGTTACAAGGCAAGTTATTGTCGTGAATCGATACACCGAGCTGTATTGCTATATTTCAGTGTGATGAATGGTATCTTAATGCAATGGCCACTCAATTGAACTGGTAATACGCCTATAATAGATGTACGAACTGGATCGGCCTCCTCTTCATATGTAGAGCATTGCAATTTACGGTGCCATTTATCACACTTAGAGGAATCACCGCTGCCATTGCCACGTTTGACGCCAGAGTTTACTAGAATGTCTTACGTTTTGAATTCTTGTACACACCTATCACTGTGGGCGGCTGTAGTGGATGGTGTAACCTAGCTTCTCGAGACTACCGTACGCTGCGGCGGTATTAATGCGCAGTTATTACGAAAGGAAGGAAGACAAGTCGATTATAGTTGCGCAAGTATCATAAGGAGAAACAATTTGGGTGCAGCGAGAACAGCGGTCAGACACATACTCCGATCTGTGGGTCTGGTTCATACATGCTCATATACCGCTATGTAGCGTGTTCTGCATGTATTGTTATGACTGCATCAATAGCAACAAAATTACTGGGGGGCGTGTTTTGGGTGGACAATGGGTGCGAGTTCACATTACCGTCAGAAGCCTCATGCTGTGCTTGGAGGCAGCATTGTCTCCACGTCGTCCAGTGGAGGACCGAAGCTGACTAGGAACGTTCACGAGACTGGCGATGCGAACGCATGACAGCGTTTTGGCGCGCACTGTAACATATAATAACCTACCTGCTTCACGATAGGTAGATGCGACACCCACAGGTATGTGGCTCGGTGTTACCGCAGCGGCGAGCAGATGTTATTGGCCAGCCTGTTGTCCCAGCAGCAACAGCCTCCGCATGCGTCATGCACGGGCAGAAGTGCTGCGCAGTAGCACAGACAACGGACAGCTTGCGGGCAGTCGGTGTTGGCAAGGGTAATGCAGGAGTAACACGGAGAGACAATGGGCAACGCGAAGCAAACGTATTGACACCGCTATGTAGCATTTTACTGTTAAAATGGCTCCACCCGTGGACCCCGCGGTGATTCCTCGCCGGAAATCCGTTTTTAGCGGCTTTCCTCGATTGTCGTACTTTTTGCAACATTCCTCGATGAACATCCATGGACCCTCGAAAATAAGCCCGATCCCACAGCAAACAAGCAACTATGACCGCCTGCCGTTTAGCCACTTCCGAGTACTGTACAGGTAAAGATGCAAACGATTGCAAAACCATTATTGGCTTTTTGTCGAGGATGTTGCGTAAGTATATTTTTAGTGTTATCCAGTAACTAAAGCGACTACAACGGCTACAATGTTTGCGCATTAAGTTACACAAAGCACCTCAATTTATTATTGGTCATTAGCACGACCTACATTAAAGTGGCGATCGGCAGCGGCTATTTCCTGTGCGACCCCGACTTGGTTCATTACGAAGCGACACGCAACAGCGAGCAATAAGACTCAATGTGCGGGGTACAAGCTCGGCAAGTGTTGACGGCTATGCTCAGCCAAAGCGACCTGTTCCTGCCTCCCATGGTGTTCGAGCAGCTCATGAGCAGCGACCTGCGCAGCCGGCAGACTTAACCAACCGCGTACGCTGTGCCAAGACTGCCACCAGGACGTGCCATGATGGACTCGTCCAAGTAACTTAAAAAACCAATTAAGTGCGCGATTTTGGGTCATTTCGGAATTTGCCTACGACAGCACAAGGATGGTTGAGAGGAAGCTATTCGGGTCATGGCGTATTACAGAATAAGGAACAATACCAGGAGCATATTCCTAACTGTAAGATAAACCGTCCTTGCAAAGCTATAAGTGCAAGTGTAGCGGCACAAGGAGCAATAAAAGCCAGTGATCATTTTAGTGCACAATTCATAATTAATTTTGGTTTCAGTATGGGCATGTACTTGTTGATAGCACAGGTGCCTGTTAAGACATGTATGTCTTTCTCGCCGCTTTGTGATTGTGATAAAGCACACGGACACCCTCCAGAGTCATTGCTGAATACTTACCGCCAAACTTTTAGAGGCCCTTGTTGGAAGCTGTTCCATACTAAAACTGTCGCGCACAAATTTGATTATCGGCTTTTAGGCCAATCAAAATATCACAATGTCGAATAGATCGATTGCATTGGTTAATAATGCATATCGTGCAATAAATTGAAACCGTGCATTCAATTGGTGTTTTAAGTTGCATTCCCAACGGCAGCTGGGACACTGGCATGCCGGTGGTTGGCAGCATCTTAGACACGCTGTCGCTTGACAAACAGGTTAGCTTGCCTGCCTACGGCGCAGAGTGTAGCTCGCGCTCAGGTTCTCCAAGCAGCGCCAGCATGCCCGTGTGCGGACGGCGAGCACTTAGACGTGTCCGACTCCATATCACGCATACCTCTTTGTCATCATCACCTTGCTGGTCTCGTCCGTCTAGCTAGACGGGTTGCTGCTAAGCTCACTTCAACAGCATCGTGCACTACTACTAATACACATCGCACCAAATAACCGAAACCAACACCGTCAGAGATAAGCGATTTACTCTAAGCAAGTCCCCTCTGTTGCGGAGCCATAACAAGTGCTACCTTGTAGATAAAATGAAGACTGAATTAGCTTTTGGTGTTAGCAGCCCCCACCTCGAGTACTAACGGGTTCAAGCCCGTTCTCATACTACGACCTGGTCTCTCCTGCATCTCAGCTCTCTTCTCAACCTCCGTTGAACCAGGTCCTCAACTTGAATATGCATTCCAACACGCCCCCATCGAAGATCGCTCTTCCACATCGAAGTTCGCTCTTCAACTACTTGGCACCTGCAATGCCCATGAGCAGCAGCAAATCCTTCAGACGCTTCTTGTCCAGCGCCTTTGTAAAGGCAGATGCCTTTTCTGCAGGATTATCTTCGCCCGTCACTTTGTGCAGCTCGATGCCCCCCTTTTGCACCTGCTCCCGAACAAAGTGCCAGCGGAGCTCAATATGACGCGTGCGGCGACTGTATGTTGGATTTGTAGCCATCACATGTGCAGCTTGGTTGTCGATTCCGATCCGCAGCTTGACAGCGCAACTGGGCAAGATCTCCTGCAGAACGTTGCTTGCCGCCACTGCTTCCATAGTCGCCTCGCACGCAGCTACATATTCCGCTTCAGCAGTCGTCAAAGCGATTATCGATTGTGGACGAGACATCCACGTAACAGCGCCTCCAGCAAGTGGGAACACAAAGCCGGTCGTGCTCTTCCACTGCTCAGGGTCGTTCGCCCAGTCGCTGTTGCTGAATCCCTCGAGCTCCACTTCATGCACACTGCTCTGCTGTCTTGCGTAGGTAATCCCGTAGTCCTGCGTGCCAGCAAGATAACGGAGCACTCGTTTCAGTGCAACCACGTGCTTCACCGCCGAGTTTGCGACGAATCGGATTAGCTGCCCCAACACAAAGGCCAAATCTTGTCTCGTGCTGGTCGCTAGATACATTAGCATCCCGAGTGCGTCACGATACGGGAAGCTTGAGTCCGTTGCCTCGTTTTCGTCCAGCGGGGCCAGTCTCACGTTTACCTCCTTAGGGTTTCATACAGCGTGTGCCTCCAGGTACCCGAATTTCTCCAGAATTTCTCCGCGTAATTGCCCTGTGAAATAGTGATACTCTCGTGTGTCTGCTGCACCTCCACTCCTACATATTGTGACAGCAGTCCTTGGCCTTTCAGCCCGTATGCGTCGTTCAGGTCTTCGAAACAGCTTGGACTTGAACTGCTCATGATTAGTCGCAACTAAAATGTCGTCAACATAGACGAGCACGTACGCAATGGTCTCTCCTTCAAAGCGGTAGTACAGGCACGGCTCCGTGAGCGATCGCCGGTATCGATCGAGGAACCACTGGTTGAGCTCGGAATTCCACTCACGACCCGACTGATGCAATCCGTACAGCGCCTTGAGCACCACGTACATGTGACCATTCACCTTGCACGGGTATCCGTCGAT